TTGGCAACTGAACTTCGATATAGACTAATCGTACGTTAGCGGGTGAATACATTCTGATACACATAATAAATGCACCGATCTTGTTTGATAAAACTAGAGAACAAACATTCCCAAACATGATATCTTTTCGCTCTCCACCGATTTTTTTTTGCCAAAATGAGATCCAATTAAAAAAATACGTTGAAACTTCTCATTCTCGTTTATCTTATTCTCCTTTTTTCTCCGTAACATCTATGAGGTATACAAAAAAAAAAAGAGAGGCAATTATTGAAGAACAAGGTTTCGATCTCTTCGTAGTAGGATCTTTTCTATGATGTAAACAAGGGCACATCTTATTTCTTAACATCTTCTTGTTTTGATTTATTTATTTACTTACAGAATATTAATGTCATTTCTTGCTAAATAGTAAAAAGGACACCAGTTAACCTTTATGAACAGAAAAAGGACACAATTATTAATAAACAAGATTCTTAAAGACAGGTGATAACTTTGGGTAAAAGGATGCTAAAAATCCGTGGGACAACACTTTTCGGAATTACAAAGCCTCCATTTATTATATTCTCCATTAATAGCATATAAAAGCTTACTCAAAATGGCTAAAACAAACATTCGATCAAGTATTAATTAATGAGTTACAAGGGAGCAAAAAAAACAGAACATTAGAAGAAGAGCCGTTTAAGATATCGGAAATGAATCTGCATTAAAGAGAAGATGAAGAAAAGAAGCTTCTATCACAGAAACTTCTATCACAACACGGCTAGTACACTTGTTGATGTCGGCGAGACACGTGGCGAGATCTGTGGATCGTGATTGAGCTGGCAGTTCGGTCGGACTATACATTATCTGTTTCGAGTAAAGGTTCAGTGGCTTACAAATAATATCATTTGGATTAGAACTTTGAATCTCTCACTTGTCGACATCAACTTTTCTTTTTAAAAAATTATTTTCTATAGTCTATACTTTCCCTTTTGTACGTTTCTCATTATTTAGATGTAAGTTTTGAAAATTCAGCGACAACAATTTAATGTTATTTTGTATGGGATTTAAGGATGGTCTGCTACTATTTCAAAGTTATGATAAGTTTTGGTGACGACTAAAGTGACTAAGAAATATTCGTTTTGAATTTGAATGATTTGCAACGTGAAAACGAAAATTATTCCTTTTTGTGTGGCTAATTTCAATTGTGGAAACAACTCTACTTTAAAAGAGAAAAAAAATGATAAACAGCTTTACTATAATACGACCGTGAGCAATGTGCACGGGACTAATTTTTTATACCGCCTAATTAATTATTTTTTTGTTTTTTATATACAACTAAGAGTGCTAATCATGCTTTAAACATGATTTTGGAACTACAGTTCAGCAAGTTTGTAGATCCAATCAATCTGAAGACAAAGAGTATGAATGGTAAACGTAAGTTACGTAACTGATGTTGATGGAATCTTACAAAACTTGACGGATTAGTGTAATAGCTAAATAATAGCTAAATAATCAAAGTGTGTACAGATGGAACAACTTGAGCTTTTATGAAATACATAACACATTTTCACAAGAAATCAGTTTTCAAAAGTTTGCATATAAAACAGATTTTTACAAAAATCAACTTTGTTAAATTTAATTAAATACAAAGTAGTCCTGAGTGTCACAAATACAAAGTATATTTCCATGAAATTCTATTTTGTTAAACCTAAAATATAAAACAGACTTTCAAAAAAAGTTTGTTCATATATTTTGAAATACAAAATAGACTTCCATGGGATGTATGCTTTGAAAACATTTAATCACAAAATATATATTTCGTTGGTAGTTTGTTGGTCATGTACATTTTATTGCAAACAAAAAAACGCAATTACAAGATTAAAAACGCAATTACAATATAAGAACAATATAATTAAAACTACATAAGGAAAAGAAGATACAAAAATAAATACAGTTAAAAGCAAAATTCACGAACTGACCAATGGAATGAAAGAAATTCTGTTTTCGACAACCGCACCACTTACACCAGTTCTTAATGTTATGAAAGAATTTATATAAGTCTATAAAATATTCCAAAATATAAATCAGGCAATCAATAGTTTACTTTGTTAAATCTAAATAGTAAATACAAAGCTTACTTTCATGGTAGTTATTTGTACAGTCCAAGTGCAAATCAAATTTTTATTATAGTTGCCTTCATACCCTTCATACGAATCCAATATTTTTGCTCAATTATGATGTACCACAAAGAATACTTATTTTTAAAACTTCATTTACTAACACACCTCCACACAGCATAATCTTTTTGATATTTCATCGCAGAATAGTCTCGAACACATTCCTAAGAAACAGTCACGAATTTCTTACAAATCTTTTGCAGTAAAAGAAAACAGTCAATTCTAAAGAAGTAGCCACCGGTGGTTTAAAAAGAAAATATACAAAGAAAAAACACACAAAATACAAAGAGTCCAAAAGATAGAGAACGAAAACTGAAGTTTCTCCCAGTTAGCCATTTCTTGATTCTCATTTACCGCAAGTTTCTAACCTATGAGCTGCATTTTACACCTCTTAAGTCCAATTAGTTCTAAGTGTATGAACATTTGAAGAAATAGTTTGAAGTGTGACTCATGCAATCAATCTCAATGCTGCCCGAGAGCAGTTTTCTCTTTTATCTTCTCCTCCACATATTTTATCGCATTAGAGACAATGTTCTTTGATCTCCGGCTTCCTAGTGATAGATTCTCTTTTATCTTCTCCTCCACATATTTTATCGCATTAGAGACAATGTTCTTTGATCTCCGGCTTCCTAGTGATAGATTCCAGCACTTTTTCCTTCTCAGTAATATTTGATCATGTCAACGCCATTTGACAGTTCTCCTAGTTCCTTCACCAAACCCTCTATGCTGTTGAAAATTGTTTTGGTACGCTCGCATCTAATTATGCTTCCCAATTAAATTTGTGCTATAATATATTCTAAAAATTCAAAATGTGACATTTTCATGATATAAATCAAATATATATATATATATATATAGATACTAATGATAGTATGATGATGGTGGAGGTATGATGATGATCATCATGGGCTGATGATGATAATTGTTAATTATGAAGATGTATGATGATGCATGATAGTAATAGTATGATATATGATGTTGGTGGTTGGTATGATGATGGTGATGATGAGGCATATTTTAGCAATTTCCCTTTTCAATTATGATTTTTTTTAATTTCAAATCGTAATTTTAAATTAAATTGTCCATTTTACTGTAGAGAAAACGTGTGAATTGGTGGGAGAGAGAGAGAGTATCCTTTACAAAAAAAAAAAACAAATTAAATTGATTTTTCATTTGTAGTGACGATTCGACCGGTTGAACCGTCCGGTCTATTGTTAGAATCGTTGCCACTGGCTCAGAGGTTGGAGAAGAAAATATTGCGGCCAACGGAAAAAAATGCGGAGCATACCGCTGGGGACGACGGCGGTATCTCCAGCCTTACCAAAGCACAACTGTTATAGCTCTTCTGGAATCTCTCTCCACCGTAGGATACGCCACTCGTCTCTCTTCCTTCTCTCGCCCACAATTTCTACTTCTCACACTCCGTCTTTCAGATCAGGTTTGACCTCTGATTTTCGAAGGCACGATTTAGCTATGAATTCGAGTTAGCTTTTAGAAAGCAGTCTCTTGAGGTTATCGAGTTTGATTTTGATCGTTAAACCACTAGTTAGTCATTCAATTAGAGGGCTTTGTGATGAAATCGCCGATTCGTTGACCATCCCCAATTGCGCCAGTCGTGATTTGAGCAAAATTAACAGCTTTAGAGGGCTTTATTTGATTCATCAGTAGATGATGATAAAGATTTGTTTTTTCTCTTTCTTTTTGTGTTTGTGTGTAGGAGGAGCATGCAATGCAAGTCAAATAGCTGAGCTTTTTCCAGCGGTTTCACCTGAAATAGTTGTTCGAGAAGCAAGATTGGAGGACTGCTGGGAAGTGGCAGAGACTCACTGCAGCTCCTTCTTCCCTGGATATTCGTTCCCGCTCGATGTCGTCCTGAGAGTAGATAGGTTAATGGCGTTGGTCATGGGGTTCTCTATTCCAGCAGGTTGCCAGAGGACTTGTTTAGTCGCTGTGATAGGTAGCTCTGTAGATGAAACCATCTGCATTGGCAGTGAAGATTTCAAGATTGGAGCTTTTGATGCTAAAATCAGTTTGAACAAAGGTTATGTCGCTGGAATCTTGACTGTGGATACTGTTGCTGATTTTCTTCCAAGGAAAGGACCTCTCCGCCAACGAAGGTTCGCCTTTTTCTCTTCTTATCCTTTGTTCCTTAGACTAAGGACCCAAAATGTGTCATTTGGGACTCTAGCTGGCTTGGTGATGTTAAAAAGATTCATACTTTGGCTTGAGAATGTGTTGTGTTAGGATCTGTGTTCCTTTTTATTTGTTTGACAATGGTTTGAGTGTGTGTTACTGATTCAAAGCCAGGACGGGGATTGCTTACATATCAAACGTGGCGGTGAGAGAGAATTTCAGGCGCAAGGGAATAGCAAAGAGGCTCATCTGGAAAGCAGAGGCTTTAGCCAAGAACTGGGGATGTCGAGCTATAGGCCTTCACTGTGATCTCAACAATGTAGGAGCCACAAAACTTTACAAAGATCAAGATTTCAGGTGCATCAAGATCCCTGAAGGAGCGAGTTGGCCAACACCAAAGATATCTCCAGACACTAAGTTTAACTTCATGATGAAGCTCTTGAACAATACACAAGCTCTTGAAAAGTTCCGGTAAATCCGAAGGAAAAAAGGGAATATTCAAATTCCGTTTGTTGATGCAAAGTAGCTCTGATTATGTAAATATGGTGTCAGTGTTCTTCGTTTGTTCGTCTTGCAGCCTTGTGTAAATGCTACTGTCTATAATATTTTCTTACTGTTTTCTCATTGTTACTTTTATATAATCGCTACTTGTTATGACTTTAGCCATTGAAACAAGATTACACTGTGACCATACCATTTACTCTACATAGTTTAGACCTCCATTTTATGAAGTCCTTTCTCCAAGATAGCAAGTTTGATGAGATCCAGCGATTCTATTAAATCATCACATAGGAGATGAGGATCGGGAATCACTGCTGTGTCGACAGCTAGATTGATGATAAGCTTGTTTACGTAGCTTACAAAATGGATGATTAGAGCCTAGTCCAACAACAAACAACAAACACATTTTCTGCATGATTAGTTATACGTACCAATTACTTGTGGTCCAAACCAATGCGTGATTAAGTTATAGCGTACTTACTTGTGGTCCAACCAATGCGCTTGCTGCAACGTAAGATATCGGATGCTGAAAAAAACTTATTTCTTCGTTTGGACCCAACACATTTGAAAATGTCAATGTTGTGTGACCAAATATCTTCTTAGCAATAGTTTCTGCTGCCTGTCATTAATAATTTTTATATACATATAAACAAGTACACATGTGAATATATGATATATGGATTAAGTATAGTTGATAGTGGTTTTTATATTTTTACCTTTTCCCCAAATATTTTCATGGTAAATTTGATGACTCCGTATAACAGAAGTGTTTCCATGGAGACTTTTTTCATATCCATAGTAGCTTTGGCTCTTCGGACGTACTCCAACGGATCATCCTCAGATTTTATCCATAAAGGAAATAAAACAACACCCATGAAGTTTCCCCATCTACATTTTGAACCTTTTGCCATCATATCAGCGAGATCCTACATAATTTTATATTCGTTATGTTCTTGTATTCTAAATTCGTAAATGATGCATAAAATTCTCTTTAATAAGATAGAGTTTAAATAACAGTAGCAATATTGATTTACCTCTATCTTTGTATCTGGTCTTAAATTTACAGCTACTGTACCACGAAGTCGGATTTTTTCTAAAAATTGTTTCTTCCCGACCGTTGAATCTTCATCTTTTTCTAATAACATCAAATATTGGAACTACTGTTAGTGAAATACTATTAATTTGGTAAGATGTGTGAAACAAAACATAACAACTGTATGTTGATATATATAAATAAAAGGAGAAGGAATTTGAAATTACCATATTTTTTACTCAAATATCTTGAGATACCTGCCTGTGTCATTCCAAGAAGAACATCATTCACTTTCTACAAAATAGACAAAAAAGTATTAAGTTCTTACTATATATAAGGAAATAAACATAACGACCAATATAAAGAAAAATGATACCAACTACAAATATATTTACCATTTCCATTGCGTTCTTTACGAACTTGACATCATCAAAGCTTACTATCCGATGGATAATCTTTCTAGGTCGAATTTCATCTCCAAGTTTACCAAGAAGAGGAGTTTTAGTATCCCGCATAAAACATACTGTAAGGAGTGACTTGAACATTTCAGTAGCAGTTGTAATAATGACTCTTATTATAAACCAAAATCTTGCAACCAACAACCACCAAGCCTTATCATTGGTGTCAACATGTTTTCTTGTAGCCGCAGTAGTAGGAAGAGCGTCGGGATCTGATGTTTTTCGTGAACTTGCGTATAGAAGAGACATAAGAGACATCCCATCACCCAGTGAATGATGGAATTTCCCTATACCTAAAGATTCTGCATTAGATGTTTTTATATTCAGTACATGAAATTCCCATAAAGGTCTAGACATGTCCATTGGAGTATTAGCTAGGTTTGACGTATAGTCTTGTATGAACTCATCAGGATTTTCGATGTTGGAATGATCAAGGTCGGGAACAATGACATGATCTTCTACTCGAACACTAACAGGGACCCAAACCGCTTCTCCATTTTTCTTATCATCCATAACCTGAAAAAAAATTTCATGATCAAATTAATAAATAGTTATGTTTTGAGCATGAGTGTACCCAAGGAAATGGTATATTATAAATTTGAATGTTTGACATGAAAATGGTTAGATATTTAACAATTAAGGCATGTAAAATAAGGAGTATATGTTACCACTTTGCTAGAGAAGCGAGGGAGCTTGATCCATGTGTTCTTGATACCTTCAACAATGGCTGATGGGTTGCATCTAGTTTTAAACCCTAAAGTAAAGACAATGACGCAGTAGAAACCAGGCGAAACGAATAGCTGGGACACCGGGCTAAGTGGCTTCATTGTTATTGTCTTTTGCTTCTCTCTCGCCATTTCTTCTCCCTCTTTCAAAGTCATTTTTTATTATTCCCTAGATTATCTATAGCCACATTTGGCTCTTATAGTAGCGTGAAGCACAGCACTACCGTTTTATTTCCCGTATTATCCTTTTTGATTGAACGGTGTTTGGTAGAACTGTTTATTTTGTTACTTCTGTGACTTTCTTATGTCTTTTGGATTTATTATCTAAGTTCGCATTTATTGCATTACTACTAACTAAGACTTTAATCCCGTGAGATTGCTGAGAATATATTTTATTTTCGGTTGATGTTAAAGGAAGATTACTTTCTTTGGGATTATTTTACGTTGGAGGGAGATTGCTTTATAATCTAAATTGGTGATTCTACCATCAAACATTCCATTATCTTTTCAAGATTGGTAAGTGTGTCCTTCAAGTACGCCAACCCTGTCTCCATATGTAGTGGACGAGGGAGATTAAATGATTAATTATGCTCGCTCTCGACGCCACGTCGCCGTGGTAATACTCTATGGTGCATAAATTGACTATCAGTCGCTTAACGACCGGAACAAACTACTCAAAAAGAAAATAATTCAAGATAGTTATTACAATGCAAAAAAATAATACTAAAATTGTGAACAAACGAAGTTTCCTTATAATAAACTTGTTTACACTCCCAATAAACCAAACCCAATTGAACAGACGTCAACCGTAGACCCTGATGGCTATAGATCAGCCATGGAAAATATTGGTTTTAAGTAGAGTCACTTATCTTTTTGGGGGTACAGTCACTTTTATGGAATCTGATCAATGTGTTCATAATAAATGTGCTGAAATTAATTTTTTTAGTTAGCCGGCAACGAAGTTAGGTGTATCCACTACACACCGTTGATATGGACTATAATATGAAAATATAATCTAAAATGTATAATGTATAAATTGACGTATATAAGATGATTGAGGTTTGTAATTTAGAAATTTATATTACGACCGTGACATAATCCAAATTTGAATGTAGTGATGTGAGTTAAGGATGACTAAAAAACCACACACTCACACTTATCTAACGTAAAGGCATTATGCATACATTGATTGGTTTTAATAATGGATATTTCCTAATCTAGTATAGATCCAGAGATGCACCCACATGTTGTAGTCATATGTTATAACGAATTCATGTAATGTTATTAAGTGAAGCATAACGTCTTATGTCTCCCTTGTCTTGGGCCCCGCTTAGAAGTACTACCAAATTGTTGAAAGAATTCGAAAGTTATAGGGCAACTCAAGTAGACCACACACACAAAAACTCATTTTAAACAGAGTCTCGTACTTTAACCACACAAAAATCACTTATGTGGACTGTCAAAAAAAAAAAAAAAATCACTTATGTGGAATCTGATTAATAGCATCACAATAAATGTACTGTAATAAAATTCATTAAAGTTAGTTGTAAAAGAAGTTGGATGTATCCAACAAAGACATTTAATATTGACTGTGAAGTTAGATTCTTATCAACACTAACATAGATTTCTTTGTGGATTATATATGTGCAGTCATATATAAATGTCTTTGTGGATACTGGATACACCCAGCTTTTTGTCATTGACTGCAAATTCTCTTAAAATAATATTCTGAACAACATTTTGAATTTGGATAGTGATATAACATCAAACTAAACAAACTTTTGTCTATGCATTTATATGCTTCACCTATATAACTGCAAATTGAGGTTGTTCCAAAGCAGAGCAAGAGCATCCTGAAGCCTTCCTATGCGGCTCCGGCCCTGGAGATAAACGGGCTAAGCCCATGCTTCTGGCCTTGAATATAATAAGTGTTTTTATTCTGACGATTAATCTGCCAAGTTTTCATTAGTTTAGTTGGTTAATGCAACAATTGGGGCATTTAGGGGTGGAGTTCACATTCTTTATCTATTGGATTCTAAAAACATCACTGCTTTGCTTTGCCCCAAAACCGAAATTACATTAGTATATTGATATATTCTGATTTCTGACCAATGCTTTTTATACCCAAATTCATAATATATACACAAATTACATGAGAAGCTTAAACAAAACCAACGTACAAAACCAGGAAAATAACAAAACAGTAAGACCCTCTAAACCCACTTACATTCACATTTCTTTCCCTTTGTCTGCTTTTACTTATTTCTTTACAGACAAACCCAAAAAAAGACAGCTGAAACATATCAGCTTAGACATTAGCTTTTGAAATTCTTCACCTTGGCTTTGGTTGAGATGCAAATGATAACAACGGCTGGATGAGTCTGTGATGCGACGTTGCTTGAGATCGGTGTAGCATCTCAACCATCGATGGAGTCTGATAATAAGCCTGAACAAAACTCGAACCATCTCCTGATTCTCCTCTCGCTGTTGCTCTCTGCCATGAGTGTGAGCTAAGTCCAGAGAGGATGTAAGCTCTTCCTGACACCTCATAGACATGCCTACTCGCCATTCTTTCTTGCATTTCCTTCAGCTCTCTATCCAAAGCCACACAAAACCCATCATTCGACTTTGCTGAGACCGTCTCTGCCAAAGCCTCTCTAAAACTCTGTATAACCGTAACAGCTGCTGCTAAATCCTCTCCTTCAGCTAAAGCTCTCGCCTTTACCATCGCCTCCGCGGCCAAGAATCTGTTTCTTTGCCTGTCCACTTCAATGGACACAACAACTTCTTGACCAACGGCTTCTGGTCTTTCAATCTTGAGCACATGACTCTGAAGCGTCACAATCTCTTTACTCAAAAGATCTTTGTAAACACATCTCATTTTAAGAAGCGGCGTCTCGTAACCATCTCTCTGAGCTGGAATCTTGATAGAAATCAAGAAGTCCCGCTCTTCATCAGCGTAAAGATCACCAATGTCCACAAACCCTGACCGACCATCACCAGCAACAAGGCTCCAGTAACTCCCGGCTTTGATCGAGCTGAGATGAACATCTGAGCACATACCATCGATCTCCAACCGTAGCTCCTGAACCGCAACGCTTAGAAGCCCACCAATGCACTGTGCAAGAGCGTCCTGGATCACAGACTCGCTCTCGATGAACGAGAACGTCCCTCCAGACGTTTCAGAGACAGAATGCATCAACGAAGCGTCATGATCTGATCCAAAGCCAAAAGAATGAACAGGAATCTGAAACCTTTTGCTCTCACAACCATGCATAGACAACGGAAGCAACAGCTTGTAGTTTGGATCAGGTTGGTTCATGGTATATGTATCTCTCCCATCAGACAAAAGGATAATGCTTGCCACCGGATTCTTATCTCTCCGATCTTCCATGACCTTGACACCTTTCCTAAGACCTTCAGCGATGTTCGTCCCACCATTTGCAACCAATGAGTTCACAGCTTGAAGAGCTCTCTGCCTTCCATCATCAGACATCTTTGTCAAAGGGAACAGACGACGTGCAGTCGAAGAGAAAGCTATAACAGAAAGCCTATCATTCAACCCAAGATTCTGAATCACAAAACCCATCGCTCGTTTCAGGAGAGCCAGTTTAGTCCCTGCCATGCTTCCACTGATGTCAAGAACTGTAACAAGATCAATCGGAGCTCGAGGATATCGAGATATCTGACTGTTAGCATCTCCAGTAGCCATAGCAGCAGCTCTGAGATGAACCAATACATCAAACTTCTCACGGGACTCATCTCGTGGCAGAGCAGAAACCTCAGGGTATATCTTCAAGTCCATCATTCGAACAGGATGATTGTTCCCGGAAAACACAAGCTGCTGCTCTAACCGTTCATCGTCGTTGAAGATAGACGGCTCAGGAGCAAGAACTCGTCCTTGATTCATGACTCGACGTGGCGTAGGCAAGCGGTGTGGGAGGCTAATAGCTGCATCGTTGTTGTTGTAAGGTCTAAGAGGAAAGAGATAAGGAAGATCAAAACTTGGGTGCTGCATTGGGATTTCTTTCCATTTGGCACGGCACACTGGGCAAACTTGGTTTCCGTGTTTCACATTTGAAGCAATGCAGTGGAAATGAAACGAGTGTGAGCACTCTGCTGTGAAAATCGCATGACCTCCTTTTTCTTTCATCTTTGTCAAGCATATAGAACATGTCTGCTCATCAACACAAGAGTAGGCCAAACAAAAAGGAAGAATCTGTGAGTCCTTGTTCTTGAGGTTTGATAAGTTCATCAAGATAAAGTACTCAACTTTGAAACAATCTGATATATCAAGAAACAGACTAACCAAACAAGTTCAAGATCTATGACTATGAGCACCGCACCATAGAAACAGAGAAAGCTAAAGTCAAATTCAAGATTCCATTTTTCTATTTGCACAAGAAACAATACTGAAAAGGAAAGACCTTTAATAGCTAGAGTGATTTCTACAGGTTAAGATAAGAAGAAGAAACAAAAACAAGAAGAAGACAAACTCTGATCCAAAGTCAACTCATATACACTAAACCAAAACAGGGAGTGAAAGATTGAGACTTTAAGGTGTGGGTTATTGTAAAAAGCAAACCTTGGAGGATTTAGAGCTATTTCTGGATAATTTGAGGCCGTGAGAGGAAGGTGTTGGGGTCATGGGCCAGTTGAGAGGAGAGAGCAGAGCAACATCGGACAATCTCTCTGTCGAATTCAAAGCAGCGGGTGGTTCCTCTAGGGTTCTTGGGAGGTAAGTGCAGAGATTCAGACCCAAAGCCATTTTCATCTTCCTCCATTTACTTCCCATTCTTCGGATTGATGAGTAACCCAGAAACGGTAAGAGTCCAAAGGAGAGCAGCAAACGGAATCTGCTGAGAGGGATTTGAAGTATTGAATCAATGAGAGAGAAATTTTTTTTTTTTCTGATGAGTGAGTAGTAGCTGAATCAGTAGTGGAAGTGTTAGTGGTGGTGACGAGAGAGAAAGAGAGAGAGAGAGAGAAGAAGAGAGATTGATTGAGGAAGGCTTTGAGATTTGCGACTATATTGACCTTTGTTTTGGGTCTTCTTAATAAATCCAGAAAGTATAAATAAAAATGGAAAAGTAAAACTATAAAGTTAAATAATGCTTCTGCTTTATGCCATAGAAATCATTTTGACCTTTGTTTCGGGTCTTGTTAATAATGTTGTTCAACTTTCTTTCTTCCTTCATTATTTGTTAACTACGTCACCAAAAAGAAAAGAAAAATCGTAATAACATGCAAGTGAAATTTTCTTCTTGCCTTTTTTCAAAAAAGAAAAAAAAAATCTTTGATAAAGAACATGCAGATGAAATCGCAACTGTTTATGGGACTGATTCGTAGGGGCTGTGGTTGCTCTGCACAGCCATAAATCTCTTTACAACAATACAAAATTACCAATCAAGCTCTCATTCTATCTCTTTCCATTTTTGAAACACAGAGCAATTTTATTTATTTATGGAAGTTCCGTAGCTTTGGAAAGCAATTTTTCTAGAGCACCAAATAAAGTGCTCTTAGAATTTTCTCTCCTCTTTCCTTATTATTCTTTCAATATTTATTTTTTAATCTATTATTTCTATATCTTAATTTTTTGTTTTAATGCTATATTTAATGACATAATCTACAATAAAAAAAATTTTATAGCATTAAAATCTATAATCACAGCCAAAATTTCTACAGTATTAATTCTACAGCAAAAAAAATTAAAGCTACAGCTACAACCAATCAGGTCATATATATTTCATATTGGATGATTTTCTTAAAAGGTTTCATATATACCATTATTAGTTTTTTTTCTTTCTTTTATAACTAGAATATAATCCCCGCTTTTAAACACCCGACTAAATGAAAAAAATTGTTAGTTTAGTAATAATATTTTGAGCATTTTATTAAAATCTTTATTTGTTAAAGGCATTTTATTAAAATCTTCCAGCGTGTTCGGTAATTATTCACAGTATGTATTATTTTGCTGATATATATATATCTTTGCTAACCATTTTGAAACTTAAAACTCAAAGTCAAAAGTGATATGGAGTATTTGCTAGCTAATGAAATGAATAAAAATGAAAGAAATGAAAAAAAAAAAAAGATCAAGTTGGGAAGAAAATAGAAGTTGTGCTGATGATGAGAGGAAGTGAAATGATGTGAGTAGAATGATGGAAACAATTGAATTACAATGGTTTTTGACTATTTTATGTGCGATTAAATAGTGCATGGCTTATAATTTGGCTCCGCACATGACACTGTGATGATGAGGTTTTGGGAGCACACGTGCACTACTTCATCTCCTTTTCCACCTTAAGTCATAACCCAAAATTTATGCCTTCATCCCAGTTTCCATTTTTCTTTATAGATTCTAAAACTTCTTTTGCAAAATCAAACACTCTTTTATGTTTCAATAAAGACTGAACTTTTAGAGTTTTGATGAGCGGATATATTTTTCTCTTCTAAAGAGCTTGGAATGAAGATGCCAGTTTATTCCATTTTTGGTTTGAGAACTAGGAGGTTAATTTTAAGTTTTAACTTGAATGCTAAAATTGTGATTCCGTTTTCTATATTTTCAATTTATATTCAACAGTAAACACATAAAACGCACGTACAGTAAACTGATCCAAAACAGTAACACAAACAAATCAGATGTTAATAATGCTAACAACCCCAAAGTTTTAACAAAAAAAATGCTAACAACCCCAAAGCTAAAGCTATTAGCACAAATATTTCGAAATCAGCCACTACTTAATAATAAAAAAATGTGTTCAAGTTGCTCTTTGGAAAAAACGTGATAGGGGAAACAAAGTTTCTACTTTATCTCGAACAAAGTAGCGAATACAATTAAAGTCAATGTGGACCAATATATGTATAGTCGTTCTACTAGCGTAGTAAAGATCAATCAGCAGAATGAGACGACAACAATCATGACTCATGAGATGAGCCAGACACATAATTTCCATTAGATCGATATATAATTAGCTTTCGCTTGGGAGATTATAAACATACATGCCTTCTCTGTCTATTAGTATTAGATAGCAGAGAAACACCAAAAAACTGTGAAGCATCTACAGTAGAGCAGTCTCAGCTAATCAAAGTCACACAGTACAAAAGCTCAAAAAATTTCGATGGCACTAACACAAATGCTGTGATAACATAAGCTGGACCCAGGCTTGCTCTTATAAAACAAATGAAAATGACTTATGATGTGTACACGGTTTTGATGTATATCATGCCATTAAATATCACGAGTGTGATCATACTCTTTCAAAAAAGAGAGATTTTTTTTTTCACATGTAAGAGTGTGTTCAACGTATAATTATGAGTTTTCAACCCAAAAAAGGTATAATTACGTGTAGTGTTGTCATCAACCTTATATACTTCATCTATGAAAAAAATATTATTTTTCCACCTAATTAGATATGCGCTTATTTTCCCACCATTAATTATTCCTTTGCGTTATTTTCTTCAAGTGTTAATAGTAATAAATGTATTTTATCGAACTAAACTATAGTGGTTATACAACGATCAATGACACTGATGTACTACATTTATCTTGATTGCATTCGTCGAAAATCATTTCACATTCTTGCAATATGTTGTACAGACTTATACTTATTTAACTGTAGGGAATTAAGGATCGGGTGGGTTGGTTATTCTAATACTTGAGGTGGAAGTGGTTACACAAAGAATTTGGAGCCTTGGAGAAGTAGCTATCTACTTTTAGAAATTAGAAGTAGGTGACTGATTGGCACTAAATGTTCGATTTACTGTAATGGTTGAAAAAACATTTGGCAACCAGTGTTTATGAAAAGTCCTTTTCGTATGAAGCAGCGTACTACTGCACCCATCGACCCATCCAAAAAAATGATCTACAAGATCGTAAAATACTAACAATTTTACAACCATTAGACCAATTTATTAAGATTTTATCCCGTAATCTTGCGGGTAGATAAATACCAATCTGAAGAGAAATAAGAGATAAAACTATTATATACGATACTTTATCTAGATTATAAAACAACATTTGTAAAAATTTAATATAAACGACTTTACAAAATATTCTCATTGGGGCAACCGTCTTCTTTTGTCAAACTCGATTAATGAGATGATTTGTTTGTATTAAAATATTTCAAACGATTAAACAACATATAAAACACGAATATGTCAATTTTGTGTATCCAAGAAGTGTCGTGTGTGTCTCGGAGAGATTTTCGAAGTGTTTTGGTTTTTTGTAGGATTGTCGAATAAGGCCACGCAACATACTTTGAAAACGTAAGCCGAAGGGCTCGAGCGGTCAATGTTATTTGGTCAAACACACATAACGTTAGCTAAATACTCCCAACATTATTCTCGGATGGCTCCTCTTTTGACGTTAGCTTCAACTTTGCATTTTTATAAAGAACCCTATCTTTAACTCTCTCTCTCTCTCTCCATGATTCCCTAAATTTAACCCAAAAAAAAATAAAAGAAAAAAAACATACTCCATAAAGGGACCGTATTTAAATTGTATAATTAGTGAAAAGAGAGTGTGTGCATACATTAAGAAGAACGACATGGCAGCTGTGGTGTTGTAGTTAAATAGTATGCATTTACCAACTTGGATACATCACGATTCCAAATTAAAGTTACCAAAAAGAAAAGTAGAGAAAAGAGAAAAGTTTGAGCCAAAAGCAAGAAAATGAAAATAAATACTAATGAAGAAGATATACATTTTCTGATATCGGAGAAGAGCAATTTGTTATCAATGGCCTTTGCCTGTTCCCACTACCTTTTTATTATCTTTTGTCCTTCAAAAACACTATTATTTTTTTTCCCTGGAAGTGACGAATGTGTAAAAGACTTAACTTTTTCAAAAAGGAAAGCATGAAAACAAAAATTCTCATATCGTTTTGCCATGCAATGTTATATACATTGAGTCAAGAAAAATAAAACACCATTACAATGACTTGCATATCCTCACACTCATCATAAAAAATCGAAGTAAATACGTCAGTTTGGAGGATATCGATTTTCATCTACAAACGAACGAAATGATGGTGATATAGGGGCGAATTATCCTATAAGTCTAAGCCGTAAAAAAATCGTTAGGAGATTTTAAACATTTTAGCCGCTGCATAATCTACATAACAGTAGTAGGTTTTGGAATTCGTCTACGTTTTGGTTCAATTATTAATTATTTTTTTTTTTATATAAAAGAGAACCTTTATGTGGTGAAGCAATACTAAAGAAGAGATAATCAAAAGGTGTGTTCATTGAGCCATTGAGGTGGAGGATAGGATTCCCTTTATAGTGTCTCTTTATGTCTCGCACTATTTCTGGCCTAAGTCAACCGCAAAAGCTGAACTCTTTTTGGTATCTTTATTATTGTTTTTCGTCTTCAATACTGTAACACACTTGTATTTTTGTTGGCAACCTCCTTGCATTACATGTGAAAGTGAGAGTCAGTTCAAAATATAGGGTGTTTTTTCATGATTACTATACTCTGTTTTTCTTCTAGGATGATTCTCCGGCTCTCCCCAGTCCGGAGTGTTAGGACTATACAAGTCTCTCGTTCCTTGTATAAGAAACAATTTGAAATATATCTATTTGGTTGAAAAAAGCTGGCAGGACTTACAAAATGATAACCGAGTTCCCCATTATCAAATTTTAACAATTTCACAAAAAAATGTCCTAGTTAACTAAATTTTAATATTACAAGACCTCACTGAACATTTAGCTGACCTGCATTTTCAACAAGTGACCAGAGAAACCAAGTTTATGAATTTTTGCCTCACTTCATTATTATGAAGTTCTATAAACTCTTCCAAGCTTTCTTACCTTTTATTTGCGCTAATAAAGATGTCACTGCTCGTTTCCATAAGCTGTTCTCTGCAGAGGCCTGTCTTCCCGCCATTCTCTCAGCCTCGGGACTCATGTCATGAACAAGTTTCACTGATTCAGATAATCGGTTGAGCAGATTCATCAGTGCAATCACTTCATTCCTTTGCAGTTCGAGCTGAAAAAAAAAAAAAAACAGCAAAGATACGTCTTCAGTGTCACTGAAAGTCTGAAATGTGAAGTAAAGAAATAAACAATGCGTCGTTTCCCAAATAATTGACAATGTGTCTCCAGGTGGGTTAGAAACGCACACTATGACGCAGATTGTCTTCACCATTGACAGTGAATAGGATTTTCAATGCAGTGCCGAGGCCAAGAATCTGAAGCTTTCCCCACAGACGACATTTCTCACAGCCTACACAGTCCATTATTGCACTGCAATGACATCAAGAATTCAACTTTGCTAGTCAGTAGACAACTCAAGAAAAGACCAGCAACAAGCAGAGAGACACACGCTGGACAAAAGAATAGCTAGTGAAGGATTGAAGAGGGACCTTATGTTTCTGAACTGTTTTTGTATTTGTTGTTTCAGTTCTGGTCCACGTTGGCCCTTCCAGAGCTTAGCTTCATCAAATGGTAGTGGACAGGCTGCTTTAGTTTTGGGGTCACTAACTAGTTGTTTCACCAGAGATTTGGTCTTTAGGTCCTCAATGACATTACCAGTCTCATATTCAGCCTCTCCCAAGTAATTTTCTGCCTACAAAACATAAAAGGGAGGAAAGAAACTAATTGTGATTATTCGAGACCATTGAGTCCCATTTTCCTTGGATTCGGATAATGGAAAGGGTTTGGTAACTAACCTTTGTTACTGCTCTGAGAACAAACAAGAATGTGAAGTATAGGTTCCGAACGCGATCAGGGTATCTTAACACACGATCATACAACAATGTCAGGTTTTGACCCCACTGAAACACACACAAAAAATGGAGATCATTGGATCAAATTTTATAATTCTGCTCAAGAAATATGTATTGCGGATAAGACACATTCATGAGGCAGAGCTTACCAAGTTTGTAGCTTCGTCAAGTAAATAATCTGCAGCTATATGAACTGATATAGATGAGTGAAGACCAGAGACCAATTTGTACAATATCTTCTCTTCTTGGCATGACTCTTCAGATGCATCTACTCATCACACAAAAGCCAGTATAGTTGCAGGGGTTAGGATCCCTATGAATTGATCATCCACTTGGAGAATATAAAGATATAAAGAAACAAATCGAGAAAAAAAAAAAAGAATGGGATAGTGCAGCTTACATTTGGGACAGTTCTCAGAGTATATAGCATCCCATATCCTTCTAGCTGATGGCCCAATATAGCCAGTGTACCGTTCAGGATTCAGCCGAAGATTCACATATGTCATTTCATCTGCCACCATGATTTCGATAGTCAGAAACTGCATCTAACGCAATGCGCTTCAACTCTAAAAAATCTTAAGATGCATAGAAGACAAAAAGACTTAGGAAACAAAGATGCAACAGATTGTGAAGGAAAAGTTAGATAGACAGACCATTGTTTGTTTCATCCTCACTAGTCCAGGGATTATCTGTGACTGTCCAACCATTGAACGCTCTTGTGTCCACTGTGCGGTCAACAGCAGCTTGAGGTTTCCCTTCTTGGCAAACAGGATTGTATTGGCTCAATGGCTTCTTAAACGGTTCAGGGAACTCGCTTTCAGGACACTCGCAAACACTACAGTCTCTTAACCGGCACATGCCATCATCAGGCCAAAACGGGCAATCACACCACAGTTTAACCTATCACAACACACACCTCCAAATTCTGACTGTATCCAATCGCAGGAAGACGAAAGATTCTCGCTTTATGATCAAAGAAAGAGGAACCAACCTTGAAGTATCGGTAAAACGGTGTCTTGACAAGATCTAAAAGCAATGGATGCAACACTTCCGTGTTCAGCTGATTCACCGTCTCGTAATCACAACAACAGTCTTCCACCATCCCAATGTACTTCTGCTGCTCAGCCTGAAAACAAATTGAAAGCAAAATAGTCCAACAATTTCCTCTGAATCAAAGCTAATCCTGACATAAACACTCTAACCTAACCTAATCACGAACTCACACCAATTCGCGGTATCAGAAACTTGCAGGAGCGTAGAGAAATGCCTAACCTGACGGCAATTGCATATTTTTCCGGTGAATCCATAAAAGGAAGAGTTTTGAGTATTCAAAAACACAGCGGCCACGACGGCTAAAAGAAGGGCAGCTACAGCGCCGATCAGCAAAACCCGGCGCTTTCCCGATCCTTTCTCCTTCCCTTTCACTTTTCCGGCGTCCGTCTCCGCCATTATCAATCCACGAGCACTAAATCTATGGTAAGAGGAAGAAAGAAGCGTCTCTGTTAAGAGCTGCTGAGAAAATCTGACACAGAGGACGAGAAATCTCCGGGGAAATAATTTTCCTTTTAAAACAGCTTAGAGAAGAAAAGTAAAATATGACAACTTTGGACCAATTATTAGCATCTTCTCAACTTCTCCATGGACATGGAGGCAAACGAGCAATTCCTTCTCGATGACCTATTGCAGTCGCCTCTTTTCCACTTCGCCGAGGAGAGACTCGGCCCCAAAGTAAATATCTTTCGTTGATCCGTATGGCTTTCTTTAGTCTCTGTTTCTCAATTTGAAAATATCTGATTAGATCTTTTGTTACCTTAGGGTCTGGAACTGACCGAGATTCGAAAATGCAGGTAAAAAAAATTAATTTTTCCTTTTGGTTAGATCTGTATCTGTAAAGATGTGTTGGTGTGATGATGGTAATAAATACTATCAAATCTATTGCAGTAGGAGCATTGTGAGCAGGATGTACGTTGAGGGATACGACTACACTTCGCTTACGGGCTATGATTTGGTTACGGCTATGAAAAAACATTTCGCTTCATGTGGAGATGTGTTGCATGTTTATATTCCCGGACACTGTACAGGCAGAATTATCAACAGGTTTGTGATTGTGTGTGGCGTCTCTTTCCCCCAGTCTTCTTAGCTTTCTCAAGTGAAATTCTTTCGATAAACTCTTTGGTTTTGTTGTTTTACAGATCTGCATTGATTTATCTTCGTGGAAAAGATGCAGAAGATATGGCGTTGGAACTTAATGGAAGAAGTTTCAGCGGAGGACAAGAGTTAGTCGTTGAGGCTTACCCGTTTGATGCCACACACCATGACCATAAGTTCGCTCATCTGAGAAAGACAGACAATCTTTGGCCTTCCACGTAAATTGTTTTTTTTCTTTTTTCTTGAAAGATAGATTCTTGTCAATGTTTGTTGATGATAATATTAATTAAAATTACTAGGATTTTTGTTCGTGGATATGACACTTCGCTTGCCGAGGATGATGTCAAGAGCAAGCTGGATAAACATTTCTCTCAATGTGGACGTGTCAGTATAGATATTCGCAAAACAGACGGAGCTCTTCTGTGGAGGTTTGTGGCTTCTTCCTCCCAATTTGCTCTCTCTCTCTCTCTCTCTCATGTTATCAAAATGCTAACCAAATATATATGTTTTTGTTTGTTTCTTTTTATAGAACCGCTTTCCTTAATGTTTATGGAATAGACACAATAGAGAAGGTGCTGCTACTTTGTACATGTGATGTGGAAGGACTAGAGAATGTGAAAGTCGCTGAGGTTGCGAATCCATCCAAAGATGAAGATAACACCGGAAATATGGGACCCCATTTTTGGACAGATGCTGATGCTGCTCCGGTGACGGTTGCTGCTAGAGGTCCTCTGGATCCAAGTCTCCCTCTGCCGCCAGACTCGGCTGCCATGCGCCCTCCTCCATGGCATTCTTGTGTGGATAGTGAGACTGGCTACTTGCGCGTTTGGAATACAAAGACTGAAATCAAGTACGACCTACCACCTCCTTCCAGCACAAAACTCCGTCGCGCACCTGTGGATCCAACTCTCCCTGAGCCGTGGGTCCGTCTTGTGGATGGTGGCACTGGCTACTTTTGGAATACAGAGACTGGTGTTACCCAGTACGAGAGACCTCCTTCTCAGCTCGACCACTAATCTCTCCTGGCTCAACCTTTCTTGCTATCTCCGTAAGTGCAGTCCTGGCACGAATACATGCATTTGATTCTTGATTCTTGTTCTTGATTCCTTGCAGCAAAGTAAAACCTCTCATTAGTTCGTGGTTTTTTCTTAGGTGGTAAGAAGATGACTACGCAGTCACAGAACAAGATTTCGGAGGAAAGTGGGTGGCAGACGATGTTTTCAACTTTTTACTTACTGTCTGTGTTTTTTTTCTTCTTCCTTTTCAATGAATGTTTTTTTTTTTTTGAACACACAATGGATGTTTTATGTATTTGCCTTCATTATAACCTAAGCGTGATGTATTTATCTGGATGTTTAAAGCAGCCCAATAATCATTATCTGCCTTCATGATCATATACGATTTTGGTCATAATAAGAAAATTCATAATATCTCAATTTGGTTTTGGTCAAAGTGTCAAGAAAGAAGATTAGTGGTAACTTGTAACAAGTATGAAACAAGACCAACGGCAGTGGTGATCACTCCTTGTAGTCTCTTAAACTGTTTACTGTACTCAGGACTCTGTTGTTCATAGTAGTACAATGATCAAAATTTATCTTATTCGATAAAAGAGAACAAAAAGGTGTCTACACTCTTCTGCAACTTTGATAAAAGAGACCAAAATGTTACTACATAATACAAAAACGTTCTTCTTTTTCTTCATCCATGCTTCGGTTTCTTAGAACAAGGTTTCATAGGTCCCTTTTCACCATCGTTTCTCTCTTTATCATTCAGTATGTCCATGATCGATCTCGCCTTTCTTGGCTTCGTCTGCTCCTCACTTCCACTTTCAACATCTTTCACCGGGCTGTTCTTCTTCCAAGGCATAACACTATCCGTCTCCTCCTTGCCTTTGTCTTCCGGTTGTGAGCTTCTTGCGATGGCCGGAGTTGCCAAGTAGTTGCGATCAATGTTTCCCCATCTGAACATAGAGCTGAGTTTGCCTTCCAAGGCCTCCACAAGAATATCCAGCTCTTCCACAGTGTACCTATAAACAAAACTCTTCTTGTCCCACGGACATCCACAGAGCTTCCTCATGTCTGTCAGGCATGAGTAACGTTCATCAGAACACGAACATCGAACAGCCGAAAGATGCAAATCGCCGAAACACACACAGCATTCCCTCTTGCTCACAGCATCGTAACTCTCGTCAATCCTCTCCGATTTTAGCGAGCTGCAAAGGAATTTGCGTCTGCTTTTCTCTTGCTCCACCCGTGACTACATACAATACAAGACAGGTAGTGAGCACACGCTCTAATCTGAAGATTAAGACAGGCAAAGAAGAACGGTAGAGAGCATATACCTTGAAAATGTCGGAGAACATCCCATCTTTACCGCAAGAATCAGACCATGATGTGTATTTCTTGGACAGAGAATATTCCTTTAGACATTTCACAGCCTCCCTTGCAGCACTAAATAAAAGCTTGTCATACGATATTAGAGATTTTCGACTCTTCTCTTGATTCTGCAGAGCAGCAACCTCTCCATGTGGCAACCAATCAAGGGGAGCGAAATTTACTTTCTCCAAACAGTTAAAGCCACAGTCGAGTGTAAAGTAATACGACCCCGGAGATATAATAACATACTGGCCAGGGCTCTGGACACACCTGGTCACTGGTATGCCCTCCATGCTCAACGCATATGGAGACACTACAATCACCTGCCAAAAGAATTGCTTCCTTTATAAAACGAACCGCAAATATAAGTATTAAATAGCTCACTAAAAGCCATCAAGAAGCTATGATAGGCTTTGCTTTGAACAGATAAATCCAAATACTGTGTTATCTCTCTATGGCATGTCATGAGCATTTATGTTGAACAAGAACTTGTTGTGAGTAACTTGCATTGATGCTTAATGTGTTTTAAGTACTTACACGATCATTACGCTGTTCTGCTGACATCTCAGGGATTAAGCTCTTCAAGGTATTCTTAAACTCGGATCGATGACATGCCGCTACAGTATACCACACTCTTGGAGCACCAAAATGCAAATAGCAGAGCGAGTAGAGTCTATCCTTCTCAGATTTCTGTTCATCAACAGATAATCGAGGAGACAAATATGAGATTAAACAAGCAATTTAGATTGGTAAAGGTTAAAATGCTGCAAGAAAACAATTCTAGTGATTATATCTGGGCAGACCAGTTCTAACTATGGTTACAGAAAATGACGACGACTTAGCTTGACATAAACTTTAAAACTTACCCAAAACTGGGAAGAGAAGCACATTCCTACACTTAGGCGAGGAACACAAAGTGATTTGCAGTCATCAAGCGACAGAAGAGAGCCAGGAAGCTTAGCCGTGTTGTTCAGGTTCCAGCCTGATGTTGTGTACTTGGAAGATTCAGATGGTCCAGATAAAGGAAATCCACTGGCAAACGTTGTGGTGTCTATATCATTGCCATAAAACACCTAATATACACTACGAGTTAGTTCTACAGCAATTTCATATACATAAAAAGCACTAAACTTGATTTTAAGATTACCCCAAATTCAAAACGTGGACTCTCGACGAGTTGTCTATACTCTTTTTCTATGTCTGCTGTGGTTGGGTCCTTTGGTTTTGGTGATGGAGATGAGTTCTTGGAACCCAAAAATTTATCCTTTATGCTAAAATGACGCTCCTTCTCTGAATCTGCGGTCTTCTTAAACGTCTCCAAAGTTTTCTTATAACCGCGTTCAATTCTGCAGAACTTAACCTTCTCAGATTGAGCATCATCAAAACCCACACCAGCCTCCTTTTTAATCTTTGGGTTCTCAGTATAATTTCCACCAAAGAGCTGAAGTTGACTGGCAAATGACGAACCCTCCCATATCTTTTTCTCCTGGAGAAGACATGGAGGTTTCCATGAAGGAGGTGGAACAACGCAACAGATTCCATAAGGCTCAGCTCTGTCACGCAAGCTTGCAATGTATGAGAGCGTGTCACTGAACTCCTGACGATTCAGTAACTTTGGGTTAGAGAATAAGGAATAAATTCATCTGTAAGCATACATGATTGTTAACCAAATATAATGTAAAGCAGTTTAATACCCTAATTTGTTTTTTCAAAAAAGCAAAGCAAAACTAACCTCCTCGGTTGGGTTGAATACGGGAGCTTCCTCAAGGTTGGGTAACCGTTTTGCCCTCACCTGTGAAACGGATATGTAAATACTTTGGCAAATAATGCAAAAGACTCAACATACAATCTTGAATCAGCACACAGAGCTCCAAAGTGTTTAAGCTAAACCATTTAGATAAGGCATTCAAAGTGTCCTGCCAAATTCATTCCTAGATCTCTACCAGTTCTCATCATATTTGATAATTTCAGATGGAAGTCATTGTTTCAACGCTGGTTACAATTACGCATTACAGGGTGAGAAATGATTGCCTGAACAAGCACTGTGCTAAAAAAAGATCCACATATCAACATTCGTCTATGTGTGTATATGGATAGCCTCATCAACAACAACATACTAAGAAAAAAAACTACTATATATTAAAGAAAGAGAGAAAAGAGGTAGACAAAGTTAAGAGACCTCAGATTTCATAGGCTTTAAGGCCTCCGAGCTGGGAGTTTTGTGGTCATGCAATATCCAGGGCCGGTTTGCAAGAAACTTCTTGAAACCATCTGCATCATCAGCACCGAATCCGGTTGTCTCTTCCTGTCCCGGCACCGACCTGGAACTTTCTCTGTCTCGGTGTACTTTCCTCAGCACAAACGTCGTCTGAGATACAAAACCTGGCGGAGTTGATAGCTTCTCCATGTTTTCAGATTTAGAACTTGTTTGCAAACCTTCAATGCCCATTCAAACCTTTATAGCCACCCTGAAGAGAAAATAAACCGAATTTCAGATGAGGTCAAGAACGTTGCAATTTCTTGCAGAAGATGACAAATGTAATGTCAAGTATAAACCAATTGATCAAACATATAACCTAATGTGGATAAACATCATAGAGAGCGAGAATTATCAATCAAATGCTCTTTTTGGTTCAAATAACTACGGAACAAGGGGATTGAGCTGGACCAAAATACTTCAAAAGTATCAATTTTCCGGTGAAATCGAAACACAGTCTTCGAAAATTGAAAAGACAATTTTTTTTTTAACCCTAAATCGTTCTTGCTTCCTCAAAATTAGACCCCTTTTTCAAAAGATTTCACTAAAGGAAGCTCCTTTCTAATCACAGAATGAGGCAAAACATTTGCGGACCTAGGCTAAAGATTGATCCTTGGGTTTAAAATAAAACGCATCTTTATCGGATATCTACAAAATCTGAGATTGGAAGAGGGAAAGAGCTGAAATTTGATAGTGTTAAGCCATCGGAAAAATCCAAAATTTACAGACGAGAAGCGAGTAGAAGATATACCCGGACGAAGTGAGAGATCCGAAGAAGACACGGAGATGTTAAGCCGTCTTCGTGAAACAAGAAGAGCGAGAGGCTGTGTAAATGGGTCAATTTAGACAACCTTGGGGATTGAAGAAGGTACAAACTACAAAGCAATCGCCTTTCGATTTTGTTGATAGATAAAAATAAATAAATTGGGTATTTTCTCCTTTTTTATAATTTTTTTTCAATTCGTTAACTTAATTTCTCTTCATGCCTCTACAGTCTACACCATGAGGTCCCAGGATCGATTCTCAAAAAGAAAAATTTAGAGTAACACTACACTAAAATCTAAACCACACTCTCATGGATAATTGGGAAAATATTAATTTTGTATCACTTTAAGATCATGTTCCCAATTAATAAAGATATTGATTTATAAGATTACTAGATTAGGCCCCGCGTATACGCGGTTTGTTTTAATATTGTTGAAATAAACAATAGGAAAATATTAAACCAAATCTTGTCACTTTTAAAAGTAAGTAGAATAATATTCAAATTCGATAACAAATCTCTAAATAAAATAAAACTGGTAATATTTTTACATTTTAATTACAATTAACATTTTGTTTTAATTAATGATATGAAAATGAATTAATTTATTTTCTTTTTCTTTTATCTAATATAGAAAGACTTATACGTATCTAATCTAAATTTGATAGGCTAATTAATTCATGAAAATTTGATTATTCTATTTAAGAGATTTTAGTTGATGAAATCTTTTTCTTAATACTGTTTTACCTACCAAAAAATTGAAAATTAATATATTTAAAATTATAATATTGGTCAATTATTTATATATTTAATGTTATAATTTTTTTGTTAATTTTCTATTTATCATGTTTTTTTTTTCAATTTTGTTTTGCCTCAGACCATAAAAATTTTCTTATTCATAGTTCGTTAGTTGTTTTACAATTATTTTGTTAGTTTTCTATTTATGTGATTATATTTTTATAATTTTCTTTTGTTAACACATGTTATCACATGATCATATAATAGAAAAATGGTGCAACAAAAATTTCAATTTCAACCCAACTGATCTAAAGTTAAATATTCTTTATTGATATCTTGAACATTAAAATATATGATTTTCTATTTTGTAATAAAAGATAAAGTTTAAACAAAAGATAGAATTACACATATAAATCATGAAGGCTATAACTTATTATATATATTTTTTTCTTTTTCCTTTTCTTAATGGGAATATGTTTTTTCACATTTTTTTAATGGGTGTAACAATTGTTTTTTTTTTTTGCTTCATGTTTTTTTCTGATTTTTGATTTATTCCTTTTCGTATTGGGAATATGTTTTCTTTTTCATTTTCCTAATGGATGTAACATTTTTTCTAAATTGCTATTTTTTTTTCTATTTGTCCTTGAATTGTGTTTTCCTGATTCAAACAAATGTAAAAATTTAATGTTAATCTATGATTATATACATATTTATATAATAAATATCAATATAATATGTTAATAACATTTCCATCAAGTAATAAAAACTTAACTCTCACAAATAATTTTTTTTCTTTAGGATTTCTAGCTTTCCACTTTCGAATAACATGTATAGTACGGCGATAGTATCTATTTCGATCCAATTGACTTACAGTCAAATATTCTCCACCTTTTTTGAACTTTCAAAGACATGATTTTTTAATTAGAGAAAGATAATTAAAAAGATTTGATGAGTTTGTGGATGAGAAAAAATAGACTACCTTAAATTTCTTTTTATAGGGGTTCACTTAACATATTCCATGCAGTTATAGGAAATTTAGTTTACATAATTTATTTCATGTACTAATAGAAATTTATTATTACATTATTTTGAATTTAATATGTGTTAAGATAATATAATTTTGATGAATGGGAATCCTTTTTCTGTTAGGATTTCACAAATATAATAGATTAAAATTTCCTCTTCTTTTCTTAATTTTCGTTTTTCTAATATTTAACTAAAATAAAAATTTTTTTTTTCAAAACATGTGTCATGATCTTAACGGACTTAACATTAAAAGTGACACATGTCGCGATCCTGAATTTTATAAAAATCCTATGTGTCGCAACCACGTCGTGCGCATCCAGCTTTATATAATAAAATACTTCAGAATAATAATAATTTATGGATAAGCTTAAACAGTACAGGGTTTTAAGCAGAGCAAATCTATGAAGCAAGTAAATAACAGTTTACAGAAATTTTTGTCAACTCTTTCCCTCAAAATTACTTTTTTCTCTTAAGTTTATAAAAGCTGACCTATGTATTATTGTTTTTGGCCAATGTTCTCACGGCTCAGCTTTCTCACAACGCATAAACTGTAATATAACAATAGGGTTCTAGAATTCTAATGAATTTTCAATTTAGGAACCAAATTATCACCTAAACTATTGGAACCGTTTTGTTCTCATAGTCTTCATTTTCACGGGACATTTCCTCAAGCGACTTCCCTTTAGATTCAGGCACCAAGAAAGTGAAGACCATACCAAAAAAGTTAACAACGCCTAACACGATAAGTGAGTTTCTGACCCCTATCCCTGGAGGATATCCTGCATCTGTCTTGGCCTTGTCTGGGCTCTGAGCCAAGTACAAGAATCCGAACACACCAACAATAGCTCCTAATTTTCCTGATGCTGCAGAAATACCATGGCAGGTGGATCTGAACCTGGCCGGAAAGATCTCGGCCGGCACAATGAAGGTTGTAGCATTAGGTCCAAAGTTGGCGAAAAAAAATGTTAAGGAGTACATGACCACGAATCCGATTCGATTCTCCTTGTGAATCCAATGGTTGTAAGGAATAGCCAGAGCAAACATAAAGACCGTCATGAAGAAGAAACCCATTAGCTGGATCGCGAATCTACCAATGATATCGATGAATGTAACTGTGAACCAATAACCAGGCACCGTGCTACACAAGGCGATGAGTGTTTGAGCTCGAGCGATCTTGGAAACCTCTTGAATTGCGTTCATGGTTTGAGCTGGAGGAATCCACCCGATAGCACTAAAAATATCCTTTTGGAAAAGGTTTTGACTGAAGTAAGTGATGTCTAAAAGGAACCATGTGGATGTAGTGCCGAGCAAATGAAGACCATGACGACTCATGAACTCCTTGGAAAACAAGGCAAAGGCTTTGGACTTATCATTTGAGATCTCTTCCACTTTCTCCTGTTCTGGCTCTATCTCCATTTGCAAAACCTTAGACATGTCAGAAGCCGCCTGCTTTGCGTCCTTAGCAACCAAAGCAGTGTATCTTGCGGTTTCCGGCATCTTCGACCTCGAGTAATAAGTCATTGCCGCGGGGATAGCACCAACCATCAAGATTATCCGCCACACCAAATCGGCTTGAGGAACCGTGGATCCTACGGCATCATCCATATAAGCCGGAGAAGGGTACTTAGCTTCAAAAACAGAGGAAAGAATAATAGCGAAAATGCCACCAGCCATGATCCCGAACCCTTGCATAGCGAAAACCGCCGCAATAAACGCGCCGCGAGTCTTCTTATTCGCGTATTCGGCCATGATCGTTGCGGATAAAGGGTAGTCACCACCAATTCCGAATCCAAGCCAAAACCTAAAAAAACATAGCGTGGCCATCACGGCTTTTGGCTGGTTCCCGAAAGATAGACCTGAGGCTACGGAACAAAGGACCATGACCATCAATGTCATACCGTAAACTTTCTTTCTCCCTAGTTTGTCACCGAGCCACCCGAAAAAGAGCTGACCGGCGAGTGTCCCACAGAAGGCAACGCCGTTGACGGCGGCAGCGACATTGGGAGGGAGGTTACCTGGCTTCTTAGAGCCTTCCACGTGATAGTATATGCGGCCGAGAAGCTTGGTGACAAGTGAGATGCAGAAGAGATCGTAAGCGTCGGTAAAAAACCCCATTCCTGCGATTATGATCGCCGTGAAATGGTACCATTGCGTCTTCGCTACATCAAGTGCATTCAACACTTGTAACTGATTTCTGGCCATTCTTCTCCTCTGGAATTTTATTTAATAAAAACACAAAAATCTTAGTAACCTTGCTATATCTTAAAGGGACGCTAGTATCTTAAATCAGAAATGACTTTAAAGTTTAAATCAAGCTCCGATGCGGCCTACTTTTTTGGTTTTTTTTCCGACGTTACCACAGTCCATATTTAATTATTTTACTTTTAAACCATTATTTTCTTTCTTTATTATTCCCAGACACAAAGGATGACTTGTGTGACATCTAAGTGAGATTAAGACAACGAGTTGTTTTGTCTTAATTGTGGACACGCCAACTAAAACTACATAATTCATTCCTCTTATTGAAAAATAATATTTGTTGACAAAAAGACAAAAAAAAAGAATAATATTTTTTTCATTGAAGAAAACATTTTGCAAGCCTCTTCCTATTTTTTCTATTATACTTTCTTGTTTTATAACGCATTACTGTTTTGTTTGTGAAAATTAATTCACTATAGAGAACAAAAATAAAAAATTAGTCTTCTAGGAAGGGAGAATCGAGATCCAGTCCAACATTGTTCTGTTTGACTAATCCTAATCGATGATCCAAGAAAACTGGGAAAACGAAACTGATTAAAACAAGCAATCCCCCATCTTAATGACCTTCAATAAAAGAAAACACAGAATACAAATTAAGCTCATCATCGGGTTGATCAAAATTTAATATTGCCAAGACCAAACAGAGATCGAAGAGGTTGAGAGGACACTATGTCGCTATACCAAAAGTAAAACAAAAATTTGTATCGTACTAGTCTTGACTAACATCATTTTGCAGAAGTAGAAGAAAAGAAAAACCAGGAATCATCAAATCATACATGTATACATGAACATTAGAAGACATAAATTATACAAAGAGTAAGACTTACAAGTGTTTTATGTATTGTCCAAACTAAGAGTGTAGAGAGAGTGAAAGAAGATCTTTTAGTTTCTCTATTTCTGGGGAAAATAGAGAAAGAGGACGTGGAAGGAGCGTTCAACCTTTGAACAAGGACAGTGAATGCAAGCGTCTTGCGTCTTGAACTATGAGATCTTCCTTCTTTTTTTATTCTCCCTCCACCGACGTGGTTTTAATTAAATAAGTGGATTAGCAAGTGGGTCTTATTCTTTTTGTTTAAACTAAATTAGATTAACATATTATGGGTTTTGGAATCATGATCTATAGTTGCTGTTTCTTATACATAGAGATGAAGCCATAACGTATCTCAGTGTGAAGGCCTCATCTGTATGAATGATTTTCAATTTTCCCACAGCGAATAATTAAACGGATCCAAGATTTTTTATGTCGTCAATTCATATTCTTATTTGAAAATCGATTCATGAAATAGACATTAACGAATCACATAAGTAACAACTTGAGTTGCTATAGACAAGGCGTATTATCACCTAAACTATTGGGACCGTTCTAGTATCGCTGTTGCTGTTCTCATTCTCCTCATTTTCACCGGACATTTCCTCAAGAGACTTCCCTTTAGATTCAGGCACCAAGAAAGTGAAGAGTATACCCAAAAAGTTAACCACACCCAACGCTAGAAGCGAGTTCCTGACCCCAATCCCTGGAGGGTATCCTTTGTCTGTCTTGGTCTTGTCTGGGCTCTGCGCCAAGTACAAGAATCCAAACGCACCAACCATTGCTCCTAACTTTCCTGATGCTGCAGAGATACCATGGCACGTGGATCTAAATCTTGCAGGGAAGATCTCGGCCGGCACAACGAAGGTTGTAGCATTGGGTCCAAAGTTAGCGAAAAAGAATGTTAACGAGTACATGACCACGAATCCGATACGATTCTCTTTGTGAGTCCAGTGGTTGTAAGGAATAGCCAGAGCAAACATAAACACCGTCATGAAGAAGAAACCCATTAACTGAATCGCGAATCTTCCAATGACGTCAATGAACGCCACCGTGAACCAATAACCAGGTACCGTGCTACACAAGGCGATTAGGGTTTGCGCACGTGCAATCTTGAAAACTTCTTCAATCGCATTCATGGTTTGAGCCGGAGGAATCCACCCGATTGCGCTGAAGATATCCTTTTGGAAAAGGTTTTGACTGTAGAAAGCGATGTCAAGAAGGAACCAAGTGGACGTAGTACCGAGTAAATGAAGTCCATGGCGTTTCATGAATTCCTTGGAGAACAAGCCAAAGGATTTGGATTTATCTCTTGAGTTCTCTTCTACTTTCCCCTGTTCTTCCTCTATCTCCACTTGCAGAACCTTAGACATGTCCGAAGCCGCCTGCTTTGCATTCTTAGCAACCAAAGCTGTGTATCTTGCGGTTTCCGGCATCTTAGACCTCGAGTAATAAGTCATCGCCGCCGGGATAGCACCGACCATCAGGATAATCCTCCATACTAAATCAGCCTGAGGAATCGTGGATCTCAAGGCATCCTCCGCATAAGATGGGGAAGGGAACTTTGCTTCAAAAGCGGAGGAGATAATGATAGCGAAAATGCCACCAGCCATGATCCCGAACCCTTGCATAGCGAAAACGGCAGCGATAAACGCGCCGCGAGTCTTCTTGTTAGCGTACTCAGACATGATCGTCGCGGATAAAGGGTAGTCACCACCAATCCCAAATCCAAGCCAAAACCTAAAAAAACAGAGCGTGGCCATCACGGCTTTTGGCTCGTGTCCGAAAGAGAGACCGGATGCTATTGAGCAAAGAACCATGACCATCAACGTCATGCCGTAGACTTTCTTCCTCCCGAGCTTATCACCGAGCCACCCGAAAAAGAGCTGACCTGCTAGCGTGCCACAGAAGGCAACGCCGTTGACTGCGGCAGCGACATTAGGAGGGAGAGTTCCAGGCTTCGGGGAGCCTTCAACGTGGTAGTAAATGCGGCCTAGGAGCTTGGTGACGAGAGAGATGCAGAAGAGGTCGTAGGCGTCGGTGAAGAATCCCATTCCGGCGATTATGATCGCCGTGAAATGGTACCATTGCGTCTTCGCTACATCAAGTGCGTTCAACACTTGTAACTGATCCCTTGCCATTCCTTTTCACCTCTGTAATTTCATCAAAAACTCAACGTCAGTAATATTTTGGGGACGTTATAAGATCTACTTATGAATCATATTAGATAAAAAAAATCCCTTTCATTTACTTTTTTTTTTTTAGAAAAAAGATTAACATGAACCATGATGGACTGATAAGAAGATGAACCATGCCCCCGTTTCATTTACTTTGGATGTGCAAAATAAGAAACAACTTGTTACAAACAATAAAGTAGTTTACCTAACTTGGAACTAAGTTCGGCGATTTTAAAAGCAAATATAACTAAACATTTAAACGCCACTTGAAATGTCATGTAAGACTAATATAGCATAAGAATTTTCTTTTATTTTCCCCATTTCGTTAGTCATACAATCATAACCCACAAGTGTGTTGACCAACTTGAAGTAAGTGATAAGACAATTTTAAAGCCAATGTAATTAAACTACATGTGTATACATATTTTTCAACAGAAAAAATATGAGGAATTAAACTGTTAACTAATAGTTTGTTTTTATATGATCTTTACTTATTAACAGAAATTAAGTACTTAAATATTAGAAAAAGGATGGAAGTTATGATAAAAGTCAACTCCAATTTTCTTCCAGTCCACTAATTATTATTTTCAACATATATAATATATGCTTCGTTGTTATTTTATACACATAATTGTTAAAAACTTATTAAGTACTATTAAGCATGTAACTCATAATTCAAATAATTGATTCCTATTTTTTTGGTTTCTTTGACTCGAAGTTACCAATCCTTTCAAACTAAACGAGGAATGCGGTCCATATAATATTTATATGAATTTTCAACCATCACTATTTTGTCTATATTCTAGTTACCCACAATGGTTGACTTGTGACATCTGTATCTGACAAATACTTAAGTGAGAGTAAGACACCGAGTTGTTTTGTCTTAATTGCGGACACGCCAATTCAATATAAATATTCCATTTTATTCAAGAAAACAAATTGCAAGCCCTTTAAAATTTTTCCTAATTTTTACTTATCTGTTTCTGTAAAAATCATGCACCGATTATAAGTTTAAACATACAAAATAAAATCTTCTAGAAAAGGTAGATAAAATCTAACATCAAGGTTTGAGATAACTAATCATAATTAATGATCCAAGAAAGTTGGAACGACAAAAAAAATTGACAAAAAAAACTCAAAACTGCAGTTTTTTTCAATAAGATCGTCCCAAAATCCCTACTGACAAGACCAAACCGACAGAGATTGAAGAGGCAGAGAGGGCCACATAACTAAAAAAACGATATCGTCTGCTAACTAACATCATTTTGCAATCCATAGAAGAAACAATAATAAGAATTATCAAGCTATACGTAAAACATCAAAAGGCATAAATTATAAGAAATACTTACATAAATACACAGCAACTCTTCTTCTACCTTGTGTGAGAGCACTGTGTGCGTTATGATCTGATCTGATCAAGTGTTTTGAGTATTTGTCAAAGGAGTGTAGAGAGAGAGAGAGAGAGGCAGAGAAGGTTTTATATTTCCTTACTCTTTCTTGGGAGAATGTAGAGAGAGGAAGAGGAAGAGGAATGAGCGTTGAAGCTGCCGATGAACAAGGACAAAGTGCAAGCGTTTTGAAATGGCCATTTATAAGCGACTCTCTATGAGATATTCCTTTCTCTATTTCGGTATATTCTCCCTCCAGCGACACCGTTTTATCATTTTTTTTTTCTTACCAACTTTTTTTACTTCGGTTATGTATTATTAGGACAGGATGCTTTGTGTTTTGCTGTTATTATTCTTTTATTATCCTAAAAATAGCTGTTCCACAATAAATAACTTCTTTGTTACTCGTAGTTGACCATTAATTTTGTTTGATACGCCGAGCTTAAATAAATGCTAGGAGAAATGCAAAGATTTTAAATTTTGGGATATTCGTATATCTACAGAGTACAGACTACAACGTAAAATGGTACTCATTTAATAGGAGCCATTTAGTGTAGAGTATATTACGTTATTAATATTGGGTATGGGAATAAACACCTATTGTAAGGTGTGAACAAAAGCATGACTCATGAGAATGGCTTGTGGAATGGTCTGTTCCGTATCTTGATAAGAGCCTTCATTTTAAAAAATTTACAGAAAGAAATATAATAAATGTCTTGTTTTAGCCCAGCAAGTTATTATCTCTTCCGTGACCCAACAAATACAACCTTTTTTTAATGGCAATCTCAGTTTCCATCGATTATTATGTAATGATATAAGTTTACAATAATAGTAAAGGTCTGTATGAATGACTTTCACGTGAAAGAAATCCATGGTGGAGATATTATATACACAATGATTAATTTTTAATTTATTTACGAATTGGCAATAAATTCAATATATACTTCGCACCACGTACATATTGTTACAAACACCATTTCTCTCGAATGATAGGAAATGTGACTACAAACCGTATAGAAGTTAAATATGATTTGAAGAACAAGAGACTTACAAGCTGCAAATTTACAAGATTCTACATATGATTGCTCAGCTACCACTCAATTTCGACGTCATTTCAAAATCTAAATCCGTCAAATTATAGATCTTTTCATTCTGAAAATTAAACGAAATCACTATCACTATTACTTTAAAGAAAATGTTATACAATAATATGAAATATGGTTTCAGAGTTTTTTTGGTTAAAGGATTAAATATGGTTGAATAGCATCCTAAACATCAATCTTTGTCTTTATGGCTCACAGTTCTAATCGTAAGATCATGAAGCGCTTGAGTTCATCGCTTGTTGCAAAAACGATATTATTTCATATTTCAAATAATTTGGTGAATTATGGACTAGGTATATGTGTGTGTGTGTGTGTGTGCAGTCGATTGAGGATTGTGAGCCCAGAGACGAAAGAATGTTTAGGAGAAGAACAAATGTCTTTTGATTTTCTTATTACTTAGTAACTTATTTATTTCTGGCGGCAATTATTCAAATTTGAGGTAGCCTATACCCAAAAAAAAAAACTATAGGTGGTATGTGACCAGAATAGAACAACCAACAAAAGTTGTAGAAGTAGAGTTTTATCTTAAAACATATTATGAAAATCTATTTCCCAATCAAAATCAGTAGAACCCGACGAAGACGTATCCTTCATTTTCCCCTCCCGCCGAAGACGTAGCCAAAAAAAAAAGTGATTTAAAACTGATGGTTGACTTTATCTATCAGAGTTGACGAATTAATGGTGATGTTTTTGGTATTGACTAGCTACGTCCAAATGTCCAATGTGCTGCAAACTTATTGCCTATAGATCTGACTTCTGAGTCTACAATTCGATCGTTCACACTGGACGGAATCGTTTTATATATACGAAATGTTTGGCAAATGAATCACACTACTCTATTATGTTAATTATCTTTCTGTTAGATTTGTTTTTATCTAATAATTTAGTTAAGTATTAAATAATCTAAATCGCACATGAACACCACATTATTAGTAAGAGAAAACGAATACAATAACTAGTACCCTCCACATTGCTGATCTTATAAGGTTATAATAACCAAGCTGCGATGGTTACGCCACGGTTATTTGAACTTGTTTTGGAACATTGGACTTTATTAAGTCTATGAGTATACATTAGAGCATCCCCCTAACTCCCTAAGACAGAAAACTTTGAGACATAGATTGAGGACCGGAAGCAGTTGTGGCTCCCGTTTTACCAGTACTTTTCATCATTAATATTTTAGTTATTAGGGAAAATATAGTATATTTGAATTGATGTCTTTGTTTTGTGAGATGGACTCATTATCTATGGCCACTCCTTTTATCTCCGATATACGTCTGGATAAACCCCTATGGACCAATCATTGGTTTTAAAGACAAAATCCATAGAGTTGGTAAATCCATTAAATCAGTGGTTTTATCGGACAATCTTGTAATAGAATCTAGATTAGTAATTAGGAAAGAAAGGAAGATAATAACAAATTTGATTAAAACAGAGAAGGATAAGAAGAAGACAAGGATAAGAAGGAGAAGAAGAATAAGAGGATTTTCTTATTAGTTTATTTTCTTTTCTTTGCTACACGCCTACACCTAACTTAATAACTTATCTGAATTGATGATAAAAGAAAAAAGTTATCGCCATTTAATTCTATCAATTTTTTTTTTCATAAATTTTTAGCGTCAGCAATAATAGAGTTGAGAGATTTTGTCAAGGTCAACCCTTTGGGAAAAGGGTAGGCGGATACGTGCATGTGGTTTAGTAATAATAATTTTTTTGAACAACAATAATTATTTTGAAGCATTTTTTTTTTTTATTATTTTGGAGCATTGATCGCCTTAAAATATGTAACAAAAAGAAAAATAATTACTAGGACCAGTCCAAACAAAATTATTTTGTTTTGAAATCATAGTGAATCACTAATGAGTGATGACAAAACCTTAGGTAAGTATCTCTACTTAGTTGTTAAAGTGTCGACGCGAACGATATTTATATTTGGACAATGCCAAAAACTATCAAGCCCATTCTTGAAAATGTGATACTTTGACAACTAGTCTTAACCCGCAATGTAAACTGAAGGCTAGCACAACAACTCTGTGATATCATTGACACACACACACAAAAAACCTATGAATATCAAGCTAGATATGCCTCCGTTTACCATATAAATTAAGTTATAAGTTTATATGGTATAATAGTATAGCATATATATATATATATATTAATATATATATCACAATAACTCTATGAATAATTACTTCCAAATATATTGAAATCTTAAATACAACTTCAAAGTTCAAACCAAAGTTAGTAACTCAGAAATGATTGTACATATCAAATTGGGCAAGTCTCAAAAATACCACAAAAATAAGTTTTTATTCCAAAATTACCATTACTATTTTTTTTTCTAAAGAGCCACAAATATTTATTTTTTCCTAAAATATCATAAACCTAAAACTAAACTTTAAACCCACAAAAATAAATCCTAATTCCTCAACAATAATCCTTATACCCAAAATACTAAAACTCTAAACCTAAAATCCAATCATTTAAATTATAAACCCTTAAAAAGTTTATTTTTAGTGTTTTTGGTATTTTTGGAATCAAAAAAAATATTTTAGTGGTATTTTAAAGTATTCCTCTATCAAATTTACAAACAGTCAATAAAGTACAAAAGGAGTAATAGATAAAAATTAGACAGAACCATCACATGTGATAAATCAGTCTAGCGTCGAAATTTCCAATTTAGTGAAACAATTTAGCCATGGAATATCTAGTTCAGCTACGGTTACTCACGTGGTGACTTGTAATGTATGAGAACTGCACAGTCTGCACTAAAACTTTATTCCACTAAACTTGTAACAAGCTCGCTAAAATTCAACATGAAGGGGTTGGTAAAATTCAACTTTTGAAATTAAAAGTTGACGGTAATACTAAACAAAATGCAGAGAAATCTTTGTGTGAAAATTAAAGGTCATGAAAAGGACTGACACAGGCGGAAAAAATTGACAATCTTATGGTTGCGAATTATTGTTCGTCATTTTCAACAAGAATACTACTAAAACTTTATATATGCGTATACGCTTATGTAGGAGGTTGGAGAAAAGTGCTGATAGCTCAAACACCCCAACTTTTCTTTCGTATAGAATCTTACTTTTTGCTTAAACTCAAAGTTTGTCTCTCTTCTTCGACCGTTCATGGCATCAAAAGGTAACGGAGTCAGATTTTCACGTAACAAAAAGTTATTCGGCCTCCTGATTCTGCATCGTGTATTCATTTATTTTTGAACAAATAGCCCAAAATAGTACTATTGAAACAAAGGCTACGTATTATAATTACTATTACACTAAAAACTTATATTGATCGAGGAGTAAAGGCAAAAACATACCTCTTACGTTTTTGTTAAATGCTTTATATGAAAAACTGGACGAAAGAGTTTTTATAGGCTAAAAAATTTAATCAAAACTATAGTTACAAATTCAAAAGAGGAAGCACAAATAAACCAGGAAAAGTCAACAAAAGTGGAAAAACAAATTTACACCCACCTGTAGTTTAATGGAACCAGCGCCTGACCAAATATAGAGGTCCAACTTTCCAATTAATTAGCTTCAGACGACGTGATGGATTTGATTTCGATCGGACCAAACTGTCACTACGACTCACAATCTCACAGTCTGAGGTAGGAGAGGAGTAACGGTGGATTTGGTGGTTGCGTTTTCTCCAAACTAACTGTCACGCTATGAGGACGTGAGGCCGATTAGGTCCACATCTGATGCTGAGTAGATCTGTACATGGTAACAAGAAGGTTTGTGGTCGAAGTCCAGGCAAAATTTGTCATGACATTGTTGGCAGGGCACTAAAAAATGGTAACATCATTTCAAAAATAAGTACTAAAGAATAAAAATACAAAATTATGTATAGAAGAATACTAAAAATTCCTCTATTTGTTTTAGCTTTTCAAGAATATATAATTTTCATCTTCCTTTACTTACGATAATTATAGTTTTCATTTTACAAAATTACAACCATATAAACTTTGTGCGTAAATTTTCTACTAATCAACGTTGTTATTATATACATCAATAATTTATAGTTTATAGTAGTTTATTCACACGGAGAACACATTTTCAGATAATTAAGAAGGGAGGATGGTTTGGTTACAGTGTAATGTAATCATTGAGACTCAGTATTAAATATAATCTTTAGCCTCCCATGATTCCCAAGTCCGCCCACTCTCATGTTGGCACCCATGTGATTACGGGGGAATAAAGAAAAGCCCAATTATGTTTCTTAATATAATTTTTTACTAGTGGAACTTCCAATACCAAAGGCCATCCTTTAAAGGGAAGGTTCGTTTAACACATAAAGAAAAAGTAGAGGCTTCATGATTCTTCCCAACATATCATAGTCGTTAATTCCACCTTTTAGTAGAAGACATGTTGTTACGGCTAAGTGAAATGATATGGAATATATTTCTTTTCTTGAAACTTCATTCATACTCTCGTTGAATTTTCTTTTAATCGTGTTTAATATACCGATACGTGGGTTCACAGTAAAGAGGGGCATATTTTATACTTCATCTAAGTAATAATAGCAGTTTTAGTGCGACACAATTAAATACTTGACAACTTTAACTTTTGCGTTTAATAATTCAAAGAAGGAAAAAAACATTGAAACTGATGAATTTAATTCCAAAATATTAAATTCAACTGATGAATTTAAAACTCACAGAATATTTCCAAAACAAGAAAGACAGAAGTTGCGTCTTTGTACCTGAATTCGGGTCTCGGACTCTCTGGTAGAAAAGAATAATAATATTTGTTCGTCTAATATTATATGTTCTGCACCGTTCATTTGTCTATTCGAAAACAAAGACGAATGTGATACAAATTTTATGTCACTAAAAGTCTTTTCTAGATCCACCAATAATATTACAAGACTCGGTTACTATTGGACAATGCGCACAATTGTCGGGATGAAATTCTGACGCGCTACACGTAAGTGGCATGCCGTTTAAAACGAAACTATTATGGTACCAAAGCAATTAACTTCGCTATGAGATTTGTTTGTATAACCAAACCCTAAAAATACATTCAATAACCAAAAAGCGTTACAAAACTCTAAAAATAGGTAGTCCAACACCAATTAAAGTTAAAAGCGACTTTAATCGGAAGAGCTTTCGTCTGTCTCCACCACCAGCTATCCTGTCGATTTTTTCAGATTCTGGTGTTGTTAATCAACTTAATAATTCACTTGTCTTCGGCGTTACAAAAGGTAATTGGCGTTACAGATCTCCTTTTCTCTCTTTAAGCAATAGTCAATTCGTTTCTAGAAAAAATAAATATTAAGAGGGTTATTGTCCATTTGGGATGTTATTCAAATTTACTTTTTTATTATCAACGATTCCAATATTTTTTTTCCGATATGGAATCTGTTATCACTTGACAGTATCTCATATTGGCATATATATAAATTCTCCAGCCTGAGATTGAGATTTGTGTACTATGCGAGAAGATGAAGTTTGGAGAGACGTTCACGGAATATCTACATGGAGAAGAGGGGTGGTTCCTAGAAAAATGTCGTCATGTTGAATATAAGAAACTCAAGAAAGTGTTGAAGAAATGCAAGACATGTAACTCCACAAGATCGAATGATGAACACACCAACTCATCGGCTACTTCTTTGTCTGATTCATGCCAATGCCAATCTTGCCCTAGTATGTATAACTTCTCTCCCTTTTCCCTCTCTTCTTCACCTCTTTACCTTTGTAATCTTAGTGCAATAGTCTAATCCAACATCAATAGATAATAGAAAAGGATCTAGCAGTACTTCTAATTAAGCCTTTATATGGTTCTCATCCTTTTGATCATATACATACATGGGCAGATAGATTTAGCATAGTATAAAGAACATGATCAATCAATTTACTACTAGTGGTTTGGAGTTGAAATCCCACAATGACTAAAATTGTATGAGAGTGCACTTGATAACCCGATGGACCATTACCACTTGATAAGCCATATATTTTTCAAGATTTGTTTTAGAAGAACGAACTTGGACGTATTAGTCAAGGATAATCAAAATGTTCGTTGTTGTAAAAAGTTTTGATTTTGCTTACTTATTGAGTATTTTTTACTTATTCGAGATTAGGTGATTGATGTGAAAGGTGATATGTTACAATGCAGGTTGTGATGAGATGTTCTTTGAGGAGCTGATGAAGGAAGCTTCTGACATAGCAGGATGCTTCAAGTCAAGAGTCAGGCATCTTCTCCATCTTCATGTAGCCACTGGGATGCAAAGATACATGATGCGCCTACGCAGATGCTTCACGGACGAAAAACAAGCTCTAATCCATGAGGGCCATATCTTGATTCAGTACATAACAATGAACGCGATTGCCATCCGTAAAATCCTCAAGAAATATGACAAGGTTAGGATTCTTGCAAATATTATAAAAAAAAATGTATTTGAAAACAAAAAGGCAAGCTCGTGAAACTGATTTTAAAATGTTTTCAGGTGCATAGCTCAGTAAATGGGAAGAATTTCAAGTTGAAAATGCGAGCAGAGCGCATAGAGCTCTTGCACTCACCTTGGCTCTTAGAACTTGGAGCCTTTTATCTCAACTCTGGTCTTGACAAAGTTGGAAACTTCAAGAACTCGTTTGGCCGCGTCTCATGTAATAATCTCAACGAAGATCAACCAGTGATGAAACTCATGCTGCCTAACTCAATAGAGCTTGAGTTTGATCTCACTTGCGCAATCTGCCTGGTAACAAAAATGTTCTGCCTTTTTTCATAATCAAATGTGGTTTACTTAGTTGAATCATTTTCTCTCATGGAGTTGAAGATTAATAACTTTTTTTTCGTGTTAAAATTGGATAGGAAACGGTATTCAATCCCTATGCTTTAAAATGCGGTCACATATTCTGTAAAGCTTGTGCATGCTCGGCTGCTTCTGTGATGATTTCCCAAGGCGTTAAAGCAGCGCCACAACGTTCCAAATGTCCTATATGCAGAGAGGTTTGTTTAGATTCTTGCAACATTAAACATTTTCTTCCCTGAAGTTTTGTTTCCATTATCTATACCGAGGTGTTGATTGTTTATATGCGGTATATGCAGGTTGGAGTTTATGCTGAAGCAGTTTACATGATCGAGCTGCACCTTTTGTTAAAGATGCGGTAAGCCAAATCTCTAATTTAGATTGCACCAAAACAGTATGTGTCCATAAGGTTTTGACATGACGATTATTTTACATATATGTACTTGGAAAAGTAATGTTTTCCTTTGTTTAGTTACTAGAAGATAAGTTTTAAACGTTTCTTATTTTTTGTTGCATTTCATTTTTTCTAAGAGCTTGAAGTTCAAATTTCGTTGTAAGAGAGTCTAGTTTTTTATTTTTCTTGGGGTGGTGTAGATTGTTCAAAGTTGCTATATCATACGAACTCACTTTTTTTTTTTGATAGAATTTGTGTTTTCTCAATAATTATGATAATTGCATTATTTTTTGTTTGTAGCAACAAAGAGTACTGGAAGGAGAGGGTGATGGGGGAACGCTCTGAGATGGTGAAGCAGTCCAAGATGTTTTGGAACGAACAGACGATGCAAATGATCGGTTACTAACTGTTTACTTCTTTAATTATCATAACTTCTGCCAAAGAAAAAGTGATAACAACAAAAAAGAGCATAACTACTATTTGATACTGCCACGCCCAAGAGGCCGAGACATTATAGATTCGATTTCAAGAGAAATCAGCATTAGCTAAGAAAGTTTTTTTTTTGCTTTGGTGATACATACATCAAGTTTTTTTTTTGTTCAACCACATGAGTCAAGTTGTGTTTGAATTTTTATGATGTTATTGGATATGTTGTGATAATGTTATACAGTATTACTAATAGAATTTATCAAACGTTTGATAACACTCTAAATCGATGAGGGTCTAAATAAGAACCAATCTGCATATACCGCATTTAAACATGACCTTCTTTATTTTGTTTGGTAACATTCTAAATCGATGAGGATCAAACTAAGAAGGTAAAGTCGTAAAGCTTGACTGAAGCTTGACTGAATGAGTAAAATTCTGGTAACAACGGCAGAAGTAGAAGTGAGACCAGCTTATACTATTGGTTTATGAATTTTAGTTGATTTAAAAATTCAAGTTGAAAAGAAGGAATATCTTTTACATATCTCCAACCTTTCCATTTTCTTTAAAATGATTAAAAAAAAAAAAAAACTTCATTTACAAGAGAAAAAACACCTTTGATTCAGTGGAGTACAACTCTTGAGTCATGCATGAAGCCAAATCATATCTTTCTTTTTTTCACAATAGATAATTTACATATGCAGTTACAAATTGTTATGTTCATCAAAATCGTTATCACTCACTTCTTCTTCTTGGCTCACAAGTTTGAATACAACTCCTTTTCATTTCCAATCTTGTTAGATTTTTACTCTCTTGAATTTTACGTTTTTGGTTCGTCTTCTACATGTATGGAAATTTCTAAGGACAACAAGAATATAACATGCAGTCAAAACATATACTTCTGGTAAAATTTGGTATTATCAAAACTCCATATTATCGTAGTGATAGTGTCATGGCCACTCATGGGATCGAGAAATTAAAAATGTGGCGCTGATTATTGCGACAAACCAAATTCTATCATTTCATTTTTCAATAAGAAAAAAATACAAAAAAGAAAGAAAGTCTTTCCAAAAGTTCGGTAAAATAGACGGCCATGCAACAATCATTTTTGCTCTCATCATCCTTCTTCTCTCCTTCTCCTCCTCTGATCACCCTCATCAGATTTTCTCGGAACCTAAACCATTCCAAACCAAATTTATCAAAATTCCACACAAGTCTCTCTCGAGAATTTCGCTTCCGGCGTGCGCAAGGAGAAGAAGCTGCCAAAAAAAGCAAGCCAAGATCAACTCGCTGAATCCCATATAGCCATATAGGTTGTGTTCATCTCAGCGTTTGTTCGAGAGAGCTGTGTCGAATTTGAAGGCACAGCAAAAAAAAAATCGATGGATTCGCTTACGTCAATGGCGCTCTTGAATGGTTTGTATCTTCGGTGTCTAACGAGAAGCTGAGAAAGAGAGAGATATAGAAACAAAGGGAAGGAAAAAAAAGAGCAAAATTAGGTTTTGTGGAAATTTAGGGTGAATTTTTTTGAATGGGAAACACATGCGTGGGACCGAATCTGAACCCTAATGGATTCCTTCAATCCGTTAGTGCCGCCGTGTGGCGGACTCAGAAACCAGACGACAGCGTTAAAAGCAGCAAAGACGAGAGCAGCCGTAAGAAGAGCGTCCATGGAGATGAAACCAATCAAAATCCACCGGACGCTGCTGCTCCCTCCTCCGCCTCCGATCCATCTCCACAACCGGCTCCAACTCCGAGCACACCACCTCCTCCGGTGAAAATGGCCAACGAAGAAGCACCAAGAAGCATCCCAGACCCAGAGACCAACAAAATCCCCGACCACGACGCGACGTCAAAGCCGATGAAACGAATGGCGAGCGCTGGTCTATCAATCGAATCGGTGCTCGGAAGAAAAACAGAGAATCTCAAAGATATCTACAGTGTGGGAAGAAAATTAGGTCAAGGACAATTCGGGACGACGTTCCTCTGCGTGGACAAGAAGACAGGAAAAGACTACGCTTGCAAAACCATCGCAAAGAGGAAGCTAACGACGCCTGAAGACGTCGAAGACGTGAGGAGAGAGATACAGATTATGCATCATTTGTCTGGACACCCGAACGTGATCCAGATCGTCGGTGCGTATGAAGACGCAGTAGCTGTTCATGTGGTGATGGATATTTGTGCAGGTGGAGAGCTGTTTGATAGGATTATACAGAGAGGACATTACACGGAGAGGAAAGCAGCTGAGCTTGCGAGGACCATCGTTGGTGTTATTGAAACTTGTCATTCTTTAGGTGTCATGCACCGTGATCTTAAGCCTGAGAATTTCTTGTTTGTTAACGGAGATGAAGAAGCTGCTCTCAAGACTATTGATTTTGGTCTCTCTGTCTTCTTTAAACCAGGTTTTGATTTCTTCCATGGCAAAATGTTATTTTTTTCTTCTACTACTTGTAATTGATGTCTTTGTCCTCACAGGAGAAACATTCAGTGATGTAGTTGGGAGTCCTTACTATGTGGCTCCCGAGGTTTTAAGGAAGCATTATAGTCATGAATGTGATGTTTGGAGTGCTGGTGTGATTATCTACATCTTATTAAGTGGTGTCCCTCCGTTTTGGGATGGTAAGAGACAGATTTTGATGCAAGCTTGTTCAATGGTTGTACTAGAGACTGATTGATTTGTGTAAATATGTCAGAAACGGAGCAAGGCATATTTGAGCAGGTGTTGAAAGGCGACCTTGACTTTGTATCGGAGCCATGGCCTAGTGTATCAGAAAGTGCAAAAGATTTGGTTCGTCGGATGCTGATCAGAGACCCTAAAAAGCGAATGACAGCTCATGAAGTTCTCTGTTAGTGTTCCTCTTCCCATAAATGTTCCATGTTTTTTTTTTCTTAAAAATAAGAGTAAGCACAGAGCATATTTTTAATATTGTAATGATAGGTCATCCTTGGGCCAGAGTGGATGGTGTTGCTCTTGATAAACCTCTTGATTCTGCTGTCCTAAGTCGTTTGAAACAGTTTTCAGCCATGAACAAGCTCAAGAAAATTGCTATCAAGGTTAAACATTTCAAAAAATTCTATCACTTCCCATTTTAAATACCAGTTTATGTTGACATCAATTGTTTTTATATGATCAATTGTTTTTATATGAAATCATTCAGGTAATAGCAGAAAGTTTGTCAGAGGAAGAGATAGCAGGATTAAAAGAAATGTTCAAGATGATAGATACAGACAATAGTGGACACATCACTCTGGAAGAACTCAAGAAGGGCTTGGACAGAGTTGGTGCTAACCTTAAAGATTCAGAAATATTAGGATTAATGCAAGCAGTAAGTACAGTTTTTCTACTACTATATATTTTACTATATGATACTATGATCTATCAAGTAATTTGGGGAAAACAATTTTCAGGCGGATATAGATAATAGTGGGACTATAGACTACGGAGAGTTTATAGCAGCGATGGTGCATTTAAACAAAATAGAGAAAGAAGACCATTTGTTCACAGCTTTCAATTACTTTGATAAAGATGGAAGTGGTTATATAACTAAAGACGAGCTCCGGGAAGCTTGCAAGCAATTTGGCTTAGCGGATGTTCATTTAGACGACATTTTACGCGAAGTAGATAAGGACAACGTAAACTACATAAATCTTCTTTTGCGATAGTTACTTGGAAGTAAATTGTTGTTTGATGGTTATATAGTTTTGTTTATATGTGTGTTTGCGTTTGTCAGGATGGAAGAATAGATTACAGTGAGTTCGTGGAGATGATGCAAGACACTGGATTTGGCAAAATGGATTTAAGGGTAAGTTGAAAAACAACATAATGATCCCAGTGTGCACCAGCTTGTTTTTTTTTTTTAACGTAATTCAAGTATAAATATTTGCGGATACGTATGGGCTGCTTAGCTTAGCATTAGTTTTATTGAGCAGGTTTTGTCCACTGTATTCCGCATTTTGTTTTTTTGTGTTCAAGTTTCTTTCTTCTTACTCTCCCACGAGTTAACTAGGAGAAAGAATGTAGAGGTTTCGTACATTGAAAGATACCAAAATGCGACAGTATATATATTTCATTTTAGTGTTATATTGTTCGTAGGTCAATGTAAAACTCTAGAAGATCTTGAAAGTAAAAATGTTCGTTCCCTTCCATCAAATTTAGATGTTTCAAATGCTTTTAACTGTTTTGCAACTACTTTTTCTACGTAAAATGAAGGACATATTTTCTAACTTATCGTATTCCATTTATAATTAATAGAAGGTATATCTCTCAATAACATTGATCTTCATAGAACTGACGTGATCAAAGATTTATCAGAATAAACAAAAAATGTATACAAAACTCATTTTATGAAACGTTTGGAATAATAAAACTTAGAGAACATGGACAATGAAAATCATAGATAATTGTATCAATCATCAAATAGCAAATAAACCAAATCCTTTCTCCCTCTGGAGAAAAAAAAACCCAAACAAGAGTACTTGAAAAAGGGAAATGAAAAGAGGATAGAAATCGCCTTTAAACGTATTTCTAAAACAGAGAACAAAAGCTTCCATAGTTTTTTTATTATTAAGGGCTGACATACTCCTTATCACTTGGCGTTACACGTAGTAAACCTGGTCTTTGTGGGCTGTGTTTACTTGTGTTTTATCCATCTCGTCTATTGTTTTTGCTAATTCATTGCTCTGAGTTGCAGATTCTGAAACAGCAGGTTCACATACCCATCAGCAATTGGGTCATTCTGCACACAAAAGAAAACAGACAGAACACTCAGAATCTTGACTATTTTTACATTAACCAAAACCATATATACAAGGCTCAACAATTGATGAAAGATTTGCAATCTTACAGCACGTAAACCGGCGAAAGGTCCTTTGAACAGCATGATAGGCAGTAACACCTTAATCCGTCACGAGCCCTAATGCATATTAGAACGTTTAAGATGTTGTTTTCCTTTTACAAAACTTAACCATTTACACTGATGATTTAAAAAAAAAAAAAATCGAAAAAACGATGTGTAAAGCAGAACAAACCTGGATTTCTGGGAGAGTTTGGCGTAGCAAGAAACAACAAGACAGAACATCTCGGTACAAGTTCCATCCACTTTCATGGTTGGAATATAAGCAAGCAGCTTCTTAAGGAGACCGTCTATGACGAAAAACCGATCAGCCAAGACGCAGCAGTATTGAAGCCCCTTAGGGGTCCGTAGCATACTTTCAATTATGCTTACAGCATGCTGAACAAGTAATTAGTGAGAGTTAGATTAGATAGAAGTCAAGAGATTTGTAAGTATGCATAGAGTATTCTTGAATATGTAGAAAGTGTTTTCTAAATCTGCATAGAGTTTGTGCATTTGAAAAATGAAAAATCTATCAAGGAACCCAATTAGATTCAGATATAACAAAGTTTAATGGAAGTTGTGTTTTATGATTTAAATTGTTAAAAATCCATATCCCAGTAACAGTAGATTCTAACAGAATTAGAGAATCGTTAAAATCCAAACATTCTGAATAGCAATGGATTTCTAATAAAGTTTAAAAGTCTTTAAACCAATAACACTGAAATTATAAAACAATGATAAAATCTATATCGAATAAAGGATTAAAATCTATAAACCAATAGCAATTCTGACTAGTTAAAAATTGCTTTCTTTCTTCTCTAATTTATTATAGCTCAAAATGAGTAGAAGCGGGGACGAAGGAAACTTACTAGTTTTGATTGTGAACAACCAAACTCAACACCTTTAGCGCAATAATGTAAAACACCTGTGTCCATAGCGAAACGAACAGCAGCTCCGTCTATAGGCTGTAGGGAAAGTAAAATGTTCTAACTTCAATGTAGATGAAGAGATTCAAAACCTCTTGTGACAGAGATATTGTTGTTAAGAAATAAAATAAGTAGGCTTTAGACTATTTATATGTACCTCGTTCAACAGATGATCAATGACACCCAAAGCACCAAGCCTTAGGCATTCAAAATGCGCAGCCATGTTACCAATATCCATTAAAGGAAATATATAGTGTGCAATTTTAGCTACAAAAACCAATATAAGATATGAAATTTCAAACACAATGTATTGTACTCCTTTTGTTCCATAATATAAGATGTTTAAGATTTTTTTTTGTTTCATTTATTAAGATGTTTTACAAGTTTCTATGAAGATTTTAATGTTATTTGATACTTCTAGCTTTTTTAATTCGTAAGTCTTTTTCACGGTTCACTGAATTGTGTTTTTAACTAATGATGTAATGTGTTATATTTTGAAAAGTAATTTCTTAACCCTCACGCTTTTATCTAAATTTATATTTTAGGACATAGCGAGTATGATATAAAACGATATAGCAAATAGAAAAAGAAATTATTCTGTTGCAATGAAAGATAAAATTTACCCTTGAGAAACTTCTCTTTTGTCTCTGGGTTACCAGCTATGCACTGTTACAGGAAGAAAAGAGAAAAAATGATAATATTACAGTGCCAATCAAGGCTTAAGCCGTTATCAAAGAAATGGTATATAAAAAGGAAAGAAGAAAAGTTTTAGACCAAACAAAAACCTGGAACAGAAGCAAGATGTTGCACACTCGATGTGGTATCCCCTGCTGAGATGAAGGTCGAAGTAATATGTATGGGTAGATCTTCACGAGCTCCTGAAGATATTGCATAAAATTCATAGTGAGTAAGGTCTAGAAAAATGTAGTCATATAATCGGTATTAGTAATCTGCGAAAATCAAAAGTAGTATGTGCTGAACCTTTAACATAATGAACACCGTTAGATTAGAATCCCATAAATGACCCGAAATTTCCGGAGTCTTGATCCGATTCTGCCACGAGAGAAAAAGATAGACATAGGTAACATAAGTTTCTAACATTTCAAAAATTTATAAGTAGACCTCACCTGCTAATGTATTAGTTTGAGACATTCCAATATTATAAACTAAATTTTAGAGTAATATAATTCACACCCTTGGACAACAAATGCATAGTCAAATGAGGCATATCAGAATAAATACTAAACGAACGGTCTATAAACATGATAAGATCAAAACAAGCCTAATTTCGGAATTTCGGTTTTACCAAATTATGAAATATGGATTTCCTTATGTGCAAGTCTTACCAAGATATATTTCTATACTTGCATAGGGTCACAAATATTATTGGCTATCGTTTATGGCTATCGAGAATTTAGAAAAAAATTGTAAGGAAATGAATTTTAAATACAAAATTATAACTAGATGTGGTAATTACTCACCACACACATTCTATCTCATATGAGAAGGAAACATACACAAAATCGAAAAATAATCAGAAGAACAAGATCTCGTAGAACACATCATGAGAAACAGAGGACAAAACAGATCGCAAGATCTCCTAAATCGGTAAAACTGCGAAAGCCGATCAAATAATATAATACCGATAATCGTCAAATGGACACAAAATAATAGAATTAACAAATAAATGTTTCTGGTGATGAGAGAAATCAAGAGATCTCCTAAACCTAATATTACGATAACCAATCCAACAAGATGATGCCGTTAATCGACAAACAAAAGAGAAATAGCAATTGAATGGTTCTTATGATGAGAAAGATTGCAAGATCTCCTGAACCTAACAAACTTTAAAAGCGATCCAACAATATATTGCCAATAATTTTCAAAACCTGATCCAATGATATAACACCGATAATCGTCAAATAGATACAAGCAAATGTCGAATAACAATTTAATATTTCTCATGATGAGAAAATCGCGAGATCTCCTAAGCCTAAAAATCGTGAATACTCCAACAAGATAACGACAATAATCATCAAATGAATACAAATAAAATAGAGAAAGACAATTGAGTGTTTCTTATAGGCTGGAAGGTGTTTGATGACCTCAAAAGGACAAGAAGAAATTGATTTACAAACAAGGAGCAACTCAAGCAACCAAATCTATGAGGGATACTAACAAATCATTGCCTTTAAGGTGAAAATGAAAGGTTAAGATTAGTGATAAATTGGTCAATCTAAGCAGCAAGAAACAAATGCAATCTCAAGATTTACCACAATCGGAAACAAACAGTCCTTTCCCAGAAACTAGATAAGTTCATCGAATTCACACATAAAAGAAAAAGGCCGAAAGTATGTTTAATTAAACACAAATAAACATAGAGACTACATATAAATTAAACCAGCTAAAATCATTAAAACAAATATATGTAGAGAGAAGATAGTATCCTATTTGCGCTTACACTGACGAGTTTCTCCAACGCCCAATCAAAGAGGACTATGTTTTGACCTTGAATAATTCCGATCCATCTTTTAATCGTCTCAAGAGGTATCACGTTGGCCGGAACAGAGGAGCCAGCCGAGTTACCGAAGTCCTCATACACATGATCCGGTAAATTCAACATTTTCTCTGAGCGAGAGACAAAGTTCTCCTGATGCAATTTATATTTTAGCTTAGTTTTATGGTAGCTGATGAGGGGGATTATATGGAGGCTAAGCTGCTGTATGGATAGCTTCCAAACAGTAATTAACAAAAATACCATATGTAGACTTTTTTGTCAAATAGAAAAATATATAAATAAATAATTAATGCCAAAGTAAAAAATTAATAATACTTCCAAGGAAAATTTAATGGAAAGAAAATTTATATGTTGTTTTGTTTTGCTGGATTTGGATTTTAAAGAAATGGAAATCTTACTATGCATTTTGACCAGACAAAAACAAGTAATAATAATATTCATAAGACAAATGTATGGAGGTATAATGAGAAAGATATTACAGTGAACTAAAATTTCTCCATATGTTCAAAGTCTGACAATTTTTTACCCCATTTAATTATATATTGCATTTATGTGTAATTTATTTACTTTATAGTAAATCATGTTTTTTATATATTATGATTGACAATATACACTATTATTATACTAGTTTTATTTCTTATTTATTAAAAATCAAAAATTTTGTTAGAATTTTTTTTTATCATATGAAAAATGTGAAATTAGTTCTTTAATAAATATAAGTCCTAAATATATTTTGACAAAAGGTTAATTTTTTATCAATAAAACCCAATATGCCGGATCTTCTGCCGGCACCACTAGATCTACCACTGCCTTCCTCCCTCTCACCGACCGACCTTTCCCTTCCAACTGTCTTCAGCGTTGCTGTCCTCGATCTCTGCTCCGGCGTGATTTCCGGCGACAACTAGTCCTGGTGTGGTGTCTCTGATGGACAATCTTGGAACACCGGCGTTTTATCTTGCCCCTCTCTGAATCTTCACTCTATCAAACCCTCAAGATCCATTGGTTTAATTAGATGAACTTGGCCCAAAAAGCCTTATTTGGGTAGACTTTTTACAATATGCTTTAAACTTAGTCCAATTGATATTGTGGCTCATTTGGACAGATTGGTTTCATCACTTGGTGACTATTTCCGAAGCTGCAATGCCGGAATATTTTCAACTATTTTTGTTTGGGAGATGTTTAATATTTCACTCTTCTCCTTTAGCATGGAGAGATCGTTTCCAAACTCCTTCTTTCACAAAGAGAGAACCTTTCCACATCTTTCCTTCTCCATGAGAAGCGAACTCTTCCAGTTTTCAGATCGAGTATGTTTTACAACATTCTTACTGTTTTGTCATCTTGCGTAGCGGTCTGTACGGGACTTGAAGGTGCAACCGGATTCGCTTCGTCGTATTTCGGAGGTAGAAATTGGTTTTCAATGTCATATACGATCAAGTCACATTTGATCATGACTAGGCTACATCAATTCGGCTTGACCGCGATTTCTTTTCTGACGCATTTGAGCTTTGCTTCTAATTCGCTATCATATGAAGATTTATCTATTTCATGCTTTAATTTTCTTATGTTGTATGGTAGTTTTTAAAGAGGATGGTTAATTCCCTCTAAATTATGTAACATTCAAGTTTAATTAATGGAATTAAAAGTTTGAAAAAAAAGAGAGAATATGAACTAGAAAGTCAAATATTACCAATTATAAATAATAAAATCGTAGATAAATCCAGCTCAGTATTGTGTGTATAATTTTTGAAATAACATAAAATTTATATATTTGTTCTATAAATATTTGTTTTTTACATAATATCATGGAATTTGTTTAAATCACAACAAAAAAACATACAATACATTTATGATTTTTCTATCAGATAATGATGCAACCATATACTGTACTAGATTAAGGCCCGCGTATACGCGGGTATATTTTAAGATTTTATAATAAAAGCATGGAAAATATTAAACAAAATTTGATCATTTTTAAACGTAAACAAAATAATATTGAAAACCCGATAAAAATATTTAAATAAAATAAAATTGGTAATACTTTTACATTTTTATTATAATTGATTTTTCTTTTGAATTTATGATATGACAAAATGAATTAATTTGTTTTACTATTATTTTTATCCAATACATAAACACTTACACATGTCTAAATCTGATCAACTGATTAATTAATCAAACTTTTATTATTCCATTCAAGAGATTTTAATTGATGAAATCTTTATTTCAATTTTTTTTACCTAACAAAAATTGAAAATCAAACTATTTAAAATTAGAATATCATTATAATTTTTTTATTTTAGTTAATTGCTTGATATTATTTTGTTAGTTTTCTATTTATATTTTTTTTTCTCAATTTTTTTTTGCCTCATACCATTATAAATAATATATATTGATATTTTTCCTTTTCGAAATGCATTTTTTTCCTTTTCTTAATAGATGTAACAAAAGAATTTAAATTATTTGTTTTCTGTTTTTTTATTACTTTTAATGGATTTATTATTTTTTCATTTTAATTATTTTTATCTGATTTTCTAATTTTTATTTAGTCTTATACATATTAATTTTTTATTTTTTTATTCTATGACACATGTTACGATCTTCATACTTTCATAATTTTTTTTTTCTAAAACAAATGTCACAATTTTGTGAGTTATAAAAATCATATGTATCGCAAAACTTCAAAAACATGATTTTTAAATTGGAGAAATAGAATCAAAGGGATCTGATGAATTTGCTTTGATGAATTTATGATTGAGAAACTTTGACTCTCTTTTATAGGGATTCAAGTAACCTATTCAGTTATATGAAATTTAGTTTACATAACATTATTTATTTCATTATACAAATATGATTTTATTTATTACATTATTTTGATTTTATTATTTGTTTGGATAATATTAATTTGATTACATAACATTATACAAATAGATTTTATTTATTACATTATTTTGATTTTATTATTTGTTTGGATAATATTAATTTGATGAATGGAAAACCTTTCTCTATTAGGATATGACAAATATATTTTTATTTTTTTAACTGTAATGGATTAATTTTTTTTTAAAAATTCCTTTATCTAAAAGCATCCAACTTTATATAATAAAAAATTTGATGAATGGGAAACCTTTTTCTGTTTGGATATGGCAAATATTATTTTTTCCTTTTTGATATAATAGATTAAATTAAATTTCGTTTTTTTTAATTAACATTTATTCTGGAATTTTTTTTTAAGTTCTCTTTTTCTAAGACACGTGTCACGATCTTAACGGACATAAACTTAAAAGTGACACATGTCGCGATCCTGAATTTTATAAAAATCCTACGTGTCGCAACCACGTCGTGCGCATCCAGCTTTATATAATAAGATATATTAATAAATAAACCACTATGCTACGTAGTTAAGGTTTTACAGAAATAATAAAGATTTTTTTTTTTGGTGTGGAAATCGTCGAATTAGTGAAAAACAGTTATGAGGTGAGCAGATATTTGACGTGATCCGTCTTTCTACTTGAAATGGTCGTAACACATTGACATAGGACACATTGTTATGCGTGCCCACACGTGTCACGAAAATCACTGCAATAATTACACGTGTCAAAAACCCATCTCTTAATAAACTTGTTAACCCCCACTCATCCACCACTTTTCGCTTCTTCCTGATCAACCAACCAACAAACCGTCTCTCTTTCTCTTCTTCTCCGCGAATAGAAAAAAATGGGCTCAGAGACTTTTCTGGAAGTGATTCTGGCGATTCTTCTGCCTCCAGTCGGCGTTTTCCTCCGATATGGTTGTGGGGTAAGTAATTAAGCACTATAATTTTTATTTACTTTGCTTGTCTTGTAATTAATTATGAAAAGAATTTTATGAATGAATGCAGGTAGAGTTCTGGATATGTCTGTTGTTGACGATTCTAGGTTACATCCCTGGTATCATCTACGCTATCTACGTTCTTGTCGGATGATATGATGATGATCCACCAAATTAATCATCTTCTTGTACAGTTGTTCATTTGATTTTAATTAGTCTTTTCCTGTTTTGTTTCTCTCACTCTTGCAATAAAACAACTCTGCCTTTCCTATTACTACGTACTTTATTACTATTTTTGCTTGATTTTGTTATGATCATCATGGATTCATGGGCTGAGTAAAATATAATACGCAACTCGATCTGTTTTCACATTCTAAGAAATGAATTATGAGAATATAATTTGACATAGAAATAGTGATTCGGTTTTGGATTTTTGATCGCCCTCTAAGTTGACTTATCCATCAAGAAACACTGGTTCCAATATGGATTGGGTTCCTTGTAACGCACACAACACTAAGATATCTATTCATTGGGGATGATTGGTAAGGGCTGTGGTTGCTCTGCACAGCCCTAAATCTCTCTACAGCAATACAAAATTACCAATCACGCTCTCATTCTATCTCTTTCCATTTTTGAAACACAGCAATTTTTTTTATTTATGGAAGTTCCGTGGCTTTGGAAATCAATTTTTCTAGAGCACCAAATTAAGTGCTCTTAGAATTTTCTTTTTTCTCTTTCCTTATTAATCTTTCAACATTTTTTTTTAATCTATTATTTCTATATCTTAACTTTTTTGTTTTAATGCTATATTTAATGACACAATCTACAATAAAAAATCTTACAGCACTAAAATCTAGAATCACAGCCAAAATTTCTACAGCATTAATTCTACAGCAAAAAAAGTAAAGTTACAGCCACAACCAATCAGGCCCATTGCCTGTTTCACTTTCGTGTTTTGCTTTGGCCCAAAACGCTGCGGTTTTCTGGTGGAGAAAAAGTCTCAAGTTTGGACTTGTGTCTCCTTCTTCTGTTTGCAGTTGCTTCAGCACCATTTGGTTCTCTGTTTTCCTTCTCTCCGTTGTTCTCCTGTTGTAACAAAAGAAGTTAGGTTTTCTTCGTTATCACAAGACTTTCACTACAAGATATTTGCTACGTTTTATAAAACATGTTACCGAGTCGAAAAATCCCATCTTTGGAAGTGGTAACCTCAGACCAGACGAGGATGATCTCAAATCTTTCACTGCATAGCTTGAATACGATGACCTTATGATAGATTTTGATCCAGATTGTTCTTCGTTCCCATGACTCTTGTGTTTTCCCTTGATCCTTCCTTCAAAATCAAACAAATAATGTGAAACTTATTGTTGGTACTAATCTTTCTCCTTCTGAGAAATCATGTGCTCACCTTTTTCACTTGCAACACATTTCTTCTCGGGTTTAGCTTGACGAGGAGTCAAAAGTTTGGAGATGGAAGAAGATGAAGAAGAAGAAAAAGAAAATATCTTTGGTTGAGGAATGAGACTCATAGGTTGATCTTTCTGTTTGTAATCTTTAGTCTTCTTGACACACAATAATTAATCAAGATGTTAAATTCATATGAAAATAATTGATTGATTAATCAAGAAAAGTCGCTCTTATTTACCTTTTTTCCAACCGGTAACTTAGGCTCGGTCTCTCGAGTTCCCGCCTGCTTCACAGCCGGTGAATCACGTAAAGAGGCTCTCAGGTCGTGGAACAGATCAGACTCAATGCTCGCAACAGAGAATCTGCTTCCTTGAGTTGTTGTCGTCATCGAATCAGTAGACTTGCGAAGCTGTGTGGTACTGGTGAAACCATTGTTCACTAGAGACAACTCCTCAGCATCAAGAACACCTTAGCAAATAGCAATAATAGCCAATGTCAGTTTTCAGTACACGGAGAGTCGAAGCTTATCATATGCCAATAGAGGATTTGACCGATCTATAATGGAATAGTTAAATACTTAAATGATCCACTAGCTAAAAGCCTAAGAAATTTGTATGGTAAAACATAATGGAATAACGTTTTTAAAATGTAAAGTCGTGACAACCAAATAGTTGAAGTAGAGAGATGAGACCTGGATCAGTGAAAAAAGCATTGTCCCAAGCAAAACTTGGTCGAGCTGAAGCACAAGGAAGTGTCTTGATCGATTGCTTATGATTTACTTCAACTTCACTCTCATTCTCGCCAATTTTTAAGCTCCCAAACAATTCTTCAGGATCTAAAACTCCTCCAAAAAAAAAAAAAAAAAAAAAAAAAAAAAAAAAATTAGATTATCATTGGAATCATATAAACTTTTTATTTTCTTTTAGTCCAGAAAAATGTTTTGAAAATTGATAAGAAACCAGGGTTGGTGAAAAAATTAGTGTCCCAGGCCAAGCTTTTGCGATGGTTCCATTTACTCTCTTTATCTCTTATCATCGGCTGCACAAAATCAACTTTTTCTCTTGCTGCAATGCAAAGTGAGAGAATGTTCCACGAATATAATCAGTTTCTGATAGAGTAAAGAGATTTTTAGATACGAGGAAAAATAGGGAAGACGATGATTGTACTCGATGATGAAACAGCTTCTTGAAAATCCATTGTCCTTTTTCAAATTGAAGAGCAGAATTTGAAACTGAACAAAGAGGCCTTACCATAAGGTAATTTAAGGAAAGCAAAATTTGAAAAAAGGGCTTTTCGTGATTTAAGCATTTGAATACTCTCCGGAAACATTCAAATTAGAGCAAAATTGATTGATTGCAGTTACTGTGTATTTTAAAACAATCCACAACCTTAAATGTACATCTCTATTAGACCAATGTTTAATTTGTAAACCTTATTTCAAATATTATAGACTAACAGATTGTTATTTTACGGTGAAACAAAATTTATTAGGATCAAATCGAATGAATGAAATATCGACTTCATCAGCAATTAAAGATTTAAGAGATGTTGAGATAGTGGACAATTTTTTCCATTTTTTTCACTTAGTTCTCTCATTTCTAACAGAATTCTTAACTACAACCAACTAAAACCCGGATACAGAACCAAAAGTTCAAACTAACACAACTGAAATGGACAACAAACCCGAAAACAGAGTCTCTATAAAAAAAAGTGGCCGATCAGCTCAACTATAAACAACACACCGGTCTCTATTCTGTAAGTGGCTGCCGTCAATTCCCTGCACCATTTCAGAGACTTCCACGTTAAACAAGCCTTTCTAAAAGGGGAGAAGATTATGCATTAGGAAAAAAGGAATCCAGCTACCACTTCTTGACAAGAAAAGTTACAGAATCACATGACCAGCAGATTTGATATTGGTAACAGTTTTGCTTGGATATTACAAAGTAAAAGTTACAGTCTAATACAAGGCATGCCCCACCACTATTATCAGTTTTCTACTTCATAGCAGTAAAAAGTGAGAGAGAAAATTTACTTGATCATTTGGCGTTGTTCTCCATCTCTAGAGAGTTTACTTGCAACTTCTGATCACCAGCCCTGTGTAATCACAATTGTTGAAGTCACTGTCAGAGTAAAGAACTAAAAAGAACACATACACAAAAAGATGTAGCATTGGTGTGTACAATTGCCAAAATCATTACCGGCATATCTTCACCAGAAACACCCCCACCAGCATCTTTATTAGATCCATCTCCGCTCTTTCCTGATCCCTTATTATCCCCCTGTCATTGTTTCAGAACAAAATGGACAACATTGAAACGGAGCTTCTCTTGGAGGGAAAAATGTACAAAAATAGAAATGGAGTAGGGCGTTTACTGACCTCCAACTAGATCACCAGGATTGTGTCAGCAACCATTCACAGAAATTGAGAATAAGCTAATCAGTCTCGCTTACCAAAAAATCTTAAAAGCAAAAGAGCAAATAACATGACATGCAGAAAGATTTTAGCTTTAAGCTTTCTTGCGTCAAATTCTATAGATTGACAAAGACTGTCAAGTGTCAACACAGAACATGCAGAAGAAGTTGCCAGAATTTCTACCATGGTGAATTCCAATGTTAATCCATAACAATTAATGTGTTAGGACATGCTAAGAGAGTCAGAAGCAGCAACTAACCTCTCTGTACCTCGCAAGGTAAATCTTTAAAGGATCAAGGTAATCCTCAAATCCTAGTGTTGCCATTGCCCACAACAAATCCTCACCATTCACTGTTTTCCTTTTCTCCTTCTGACACTTATCACTCGCCCTGATTACCATAAAAGGAATTTTCCATCTTCCATTAGAGATAACAAATACCAATCAATTGACCATTACAGTCCACAAATCAACAATAAGACCAGCAAAGGAAAGCAACTAGCTTCAGGTAACCCATTGCTACAATGGAAGATTAACTTTTTGAAGACTCCCTGAGCTAAAATAAATAGCGAGCTAAAATTAGAAGAAGCCGTTTCTTGCATAGCACAATTTACCAAATTTTCACCAAACAACGAATAAAAAGAAAAAAGAAAAAAACGAACTTTCCAAAATTGGGAATACAATTTCCAATACAAGTTTCCAGAACAATTCAAGAGAATGATTTAGAAACAATACTCGCTGGTGATGAAGCTGATAAACTCAGAGACGCATTCCTGAACAGTGTCCTTAGCATCTTTGCCGATCTTCCCGTTGGGAGGCAACGCCTTCTTCATGATCCTGCTGATATTAGCTATTGGAAGGTATCGGTCCTGCTCCCTAACCGAGCCGCCGCTCTCTCCGCCATCTCCGGCCGGGCTCGAAGGCGCATCCGCCATTCACTGCACAAATAATTCCAAGCATCGTTTTTTCAAAATCGCGACATGATTGGACAAAGCAAAGGAAATCGAGAAAATGGCTTACAGATTCGGAAAGTGGAAAGCTTATCGCGTGGAATTGGGATGGTTTAGGGCTTTAGAGAAGTCGAATTTCTTCAAGGAAGGAAGTTTATCGGAGTCGCCGCTGCTTTCGACGGCTGCTGTAACTAAATACGATATGATTTTTACACGACTTCTTTCAATAAGCAGGATTAAAAATGGTAACTACAAGATTAATTTAATTAATCAAGATTACTAAATTAAACTAAGCAGCAAGCACAACTTGTGAACCTTTATTTTTAAGGTTTTGTCAAAAAATAAACGTTAACTACCAATCATTAATGAACTAATTAACACGATAATTCAAGTGTATATATTATATTGGAGATCAGAAAAGTCAATTTTGTTTGTGATTCATCATAACTTGCTTGATACCAGCAATGGGTCGATAATTTGTTTCAATTGTTAAGTTGGAGGTGTTAAGTTGCCTGATACTGATAAGCGATAGTCTCTTTAAATCAAATCGTTTATATGATCGTAGGATCTCGATCGCTACTGTTGTTTGAAGTTGCCTGATACTTATTGTTTTCTTGTATTTTCCCATGTGATGCTAAAAACTTGAACTGAGAACACTTCAAACCAAAAAAAAATTCTTAGATTTTGTTAAATTTGGTACACCTCTGTTTTTTGTTGTTTTGCTTTATTCCAACATGATTAGTTTCCAATAACTAATTTCTCCAACAATCATTTAAGTACACACCTTTCTCCACATTTCTTCAAGTTGCATCCTGTAAAAGTCGTCAAATTCCAAAGTCAACGAGCATTCGACACTATTGAAGGTGGACTCACACAGTAAACTATAACCAAATACAATTATTACTACCTCACAAAACCAGCTCATTTCATTCTTGTGGCTTATTCTTTCCCGCTGCGTGATTCCAATGCGGCAGCGTTTCATAACCATTGCAACTAGCTGGAACAAATGGGTGGTTCACCTGTGCGGGCAAGTGACTGGAGAAAGCAACATTCTGCGGTGGAAGAGGCACATTGGTGGAGTTCTTCAATCCAATATTGCTTATTGGTGCGCTATTGAATGGTATGCTGTTTGGTCTTGCCACAAGTAAAGGATTCCTTCCTGTCACTCTTTTCACAGTTTCCTCTGCCATCTTCACCTACAAAAGTTTTATCGTTAGCAAAGAACCTATTTTAGGAAGTAATGGAGGGATCATAAACTTGAAGGCTTGCATGATTTTTTCTATAAACAATGGAAAGTGAGAAACTTTGATGTAATATAAAGCGTACAATATATACCTTTGTTCTCAGTGTTTCGATATCAGCTTTTAACACTCTGTTATCAACCATCATACTTGTGATTCATCTCACTAAGACGTTTTAGCAAAGTCGAATGCTCAGTCCGTAACTGGCCAACCTACAAAAAAAAAATGAAAAACGTCCTTAAGTAATGCGGCATTAAGTAATGTGTCCATGCATGAGAAACTATTTCAAGGCAAGGACCTGTGTATCAAGCTCATTCATTTGTTCTGCCTTTCGTTTTCTAGAGCGCCTAGCGGATTCTCGGTTTGAAATCTTCCTGAGGAAATCAACAACTAACCAAGTCAGGAAGGCCTTAACAAGAGATAGAGAGAGCATACTTTGTTCAAATTAACATTTTTATTCCTACCGTTGAGAACAATTTAAACATTATGAAACCATCCTCTTGGCAGCTAAGTTAAACCCTTCTAAGAGGCAAAAAAAATCAAGATATGTACCTCTTGGCACGCTTTATGTGAGCAGGATCTGCATTCTCTGCGTCTCCATCAAGATCTTCGTCATCAGAATCATCTCTTGATGAGCCACTGGTAGCTCGCCTGACTTGAGTATCTGGTTTGTTCTGTGTGCCTAATGAAGTAGCAGCGCTAACGGATGAAACACAAGGTGACGTTTGTGTCGCAGCAGGACCTGATTAGTACAAAAGAAAAGGGTCCACTTTCCATCAGCTGAAGGAAAATTCATGTGAAAAGGAAAAGAATTTCAAGCACAATGCTACGAACAGAGTAGGGACATAACAGAGAGAGCGAAGTATTGGATTTGTAGAAATGGGAACGAACCTTGAGTTTGAGATCCAGTCGGAGCAGGCTGCTTTTGATTACCAGATGAGGCACTCGAATCTTCCGGTTTCCCACTTGCCACCTGCAAAAGATCAGTCACCAAACTGTATAAGAAGAATTTTCCATCAACATGCATTCAAAACACAGATGGATCAAAGACGAACGCGAAGGGCAACGGCAGCGCAGGCGAGTTCGAGCTTGCTCTTGAGGATCGCTTGGTAATGGTTTGGATCCATCTCAGCTGAAGAGTCAGACGACGGTGCACGGATTTTTGGCTTCTGTATCTCGACGACATCAGCGCCGTCAGATGCAGCTTCTCCTTGTTTGGAAACGGACGGCTCAGATTGAAGCTGTGAAGTTGACTGGCTGATTGCGTTATCAGTGGCGGAAGACGAGGAGATGGGAGGACTCTCTGAGGAAGTGGACATCTCTTCGAGAAGTCTTTTGAAGGCCCACTCCGATTGACTTCTGGTAATCCCATCGCCCGGAGCCGCCGGTGGTTGCCAGAACGAATCGGTCAAATCATCGACGGAGAAACCGAAATTCATCGCGCTCACATACCTAATCTCCTGAGAATTTTCCAGACTCTCTCTCTCTCTCTCTCTCTCTCTCTCTCTCTCTCTCTCCTCTGGGCTCTGGATGTCTAAAAGTGGCTCCGACATAAACATGCGAGTACAACGTGGACCTGTCCGAAAAATCAAAGGTTACACGCGGCACTCTATTATTGGATGTTTTGAAGAATCAAAAAGAGAGACAGATTTCGCGGGTCCCACATATTTCTGTGAAACTGTTCTTGTGCAAGTGAAAGTTGAAACTGTCTAGGTGGAAATATTATCCGTTTGGCACTTGTCTTTTACTCCATGTTTCTCCTCTCTCTCTTCTCACTTCTTTGAGTTGATTCATCCCTTTTTTAGGGTAGCGAAGTATTTTTTTTATTCAACTCCTTCTCTTTATTATAGAGGTTTTGCTTGGATCTTCCACAGACGCGAGTATTGATGGTGTTTGCCACCGAATCCCCGGTTGCTTGGATTCATAGGCCTTCCATAGACGCGAGTATTGATGGTGTTTGCCACCGAATCCCCGGTTACTTGGACCTTACGCTTTTTCTTTTAAATTTGAAGGGGAGAGAGAGGGAAGCACGAACTCACTAAGACTTTTTCATTTGATGGAGAGGATGAGGAATCATGCCATTTGTATGCCAAGCCCCTAGCTGAGAAGATTAAGTTCATTAAGGGCGGAGTCAAAGATGGATCCTTCTCAAGTCTTTAGAGATGTAGGCGTTTTTGGTAGATCGATCAACTCATAGTGCACCTGTGGTAAGATGTATTGCCAAGAACTGCTCAATGGTCACTTAAACATTAGTACAACCATGGTTAGATCCAAGATAAGGTCATGATTCTCGACAAAAATTTTGACTCAATAAAAACGACTCGATAAAAGGGAAAAATGCAAATGAAAACGCCAAAATGAACAAACATTGTTAGTAATCCCCCCAGACTTAACTTGCACCGTCCCGGTGAAATCAAATCGGATTAAGAGAGGCATAACATGAAGTTCAAATGAAAAATTGAAAAGAAAAAGGTTTAGGATGATGTTACCAATGTCGACCAATTTATAATGAAGATCAGTTCTGGTTTGGGTCATTCTACACTTCTTTAGGCAATATTGGTCGGTGAGTTTTTAATTTCAGGCCTTGGTTTCCGCCGGTTTGTGTTTTGGCCGAGATTGGTATATTCGGTCGGCCAAAATGTGGTGCTGTGAACTACAGAACAAACCGTCAAAAATTTCATGACCTATATTGAAATTTCATCGACCAACCTGGTATTTTATGCCTCTGGTGAAGTTTGGGAGCATTTGTACGAGCGGATTGAGACTTCCTTCACAAAATGGTCAAGTCGGCTCCGGGAAGGAGTTTCCTTGGCCATTGAAGTTTGGCTCGTTCCTTTTCGTTTCTTCCTGCAGAAAAATCCTCCGTTGAATACGTCGAATGCGCTTTCTTTGAAGAATTTTCGTCTCTTAATCCAGCCTTCTTCTTTGCTCTTCAATCGATGCCTAACTCAAGCTTGTCCATAGAACTTGCTCCGCTAAGCGACTAGCGAGAGGTCCATAGGGACTCCGAGTGAAACGAGAGGGGAATCGGAGGATATTACAACCGAACACATCTCTACTAAAGAACAACCTGCGACGAGCCGACTACTACGACCACATGCGCATCTAGCGCAGTGGCGCTGTGTCTCTCTCTTGTTGCGTATGACTCCTTTCAGTCGAGTTTGTGTTCACAACCTCTCACTTTCACCTTTCATATCAGAAACGTCGACTTTCACTAAGACAAGCAGCTGCAGATCTGAATAACTTGAGGAAATGGCAGCAACAGATGCATCTGTTATCTCTTTGCCCAGAACCAGGGAGAGCATTCTCAACTCCCTGGAAGATTGTACACAAGAAATTGACATCAAAACCTTTTTAAGAAATAAAACTTCAAAATCCCACAGAACGGTTTCTTGGCATAAAAGCTGGGTTTAACAAAGGTAGTGGAGAAAAACCTGAAATTTGCAGCTGTAAGAACAAGTACGACAAGATGAGAAAGCTTCAAGGAGGCTATATGGATGTTTTGAAGTCTTTTGCAAGTCCTTCCCAAACCATCAAACATTGTTATGAGATCAGTTGAATCATGTTCTTGGTGAGAAAATTCCAGAGATATCTCTCTTAGATTTGGACAGTTAAAGACCTATCAAAAAGTTAAACTTTTATACAAGTTAGATATAAGAATTGTCTCTACCTACATAGAACGAGAGAGGACGAGATAAGGAAACTAAAAAAATACCATCTTTGAAAGAGAGTGAAGGTCCGAGAGCCAAAGAGTGGAAAGAGTTGATGAACAGAGGACAAATCCTCCCAAGTTTGAACATCCTTCCATCTTAAGGCTAGTGAGACCTTGTTTATTATCAACAAAACGACCAAGCTCTCCCCTATTCATACAATAAAGCTAGGATAGTTATCAACAGATCCAGCAAGACAAGACTGCACACTAAAAAAAGGTCAATCTAGCATTTCTTATTGCAGTGTAAACATCAAGACGTGTAGAGTTGTAGAGTTGTAGAATCGTTTACCCTGAAATCCTATTGACAGCTGAACCTAGAGATGAAATCTCCAACATCTTCAGGCTAGGGTATGAAAAAGCAATGCAGGCAAGTGTTGTAGCATCAAAATCACTGCAGAGTTATACGAAGAACAGAACAGTAAACCATTAGAATCAAGTATAGTGATTCTAATAAACAGAAACCAATGAAGTCACCATCATCAAATGCTCCATATTTAAGTTGATTAGATTTTCTTGTCAAGTTAGAAAGTCAATTTCCAGCCAAATTCATTCATCATCTTTAAAGTTGTTACGCTCTTCTGAGTTTTGCTCATTAGTATTGTTAATCAAAAGTTAAAATCAGTATAACCATATCAATTAGAGCTTAAATTTCCCAGAATCAGATTAAAAGAGCTTAACCTTTCGATTCTAAGAGATAGCCTAATAAGTCCAGGACACTTTTGCAATAGAGACCCAATGTAACTAATCTGAGATTTCACCGGAACTCTAATTCGAAGCTCCTCCGCCGCTTTCCACATCTTCCTCGCAGTTTCTCTCCACCCTCTGCAAACCCTAGCCGCCACCATCAAACCGGAAGGCGGAAGCCTTCTCAGTACCTCCCATAGAAGCACAGCAGGAAATCCACGCGGCTGAACAGTAACCGTATCCAAATCCAGATCCGATTCCGTCGGATGCGTTTCACCGCCATCGGATTCGTCCTGAGAATGATGCTGCGCCTCGGAGTCGTCGAACGAGAGGGCGCGGCGGAGGTGGGAGTAGGACGGAGGTAAGGATCGGATTGTGGGACGGGAAGAAGATGCGGCGGCGGGGATGCAGCTAATCGGCTCACAGGCGATCGGAGTGGATGGTGTAGGATCGGGGGTGACGTGACAGACATGGCCTTTCTTAGGTTGGCCACATCGCCGGCAGTTGTAACTTCCTCGGTTTCTCTTTACACGTTGGGATTCTAAAGCGGCGGAGACTGCGGCTGTGGCGGTGTCGGGGGTAATGTGAGGCTGAGGCTGCATGGTCAGAGACTCAGAGGTAAGGAGAGAGAGAAAGAGGAGTGTGGTGAGAGATGAAACGGAGTCGGAGGTGGAAAATAGACCGGCGAGGGAAAAAAAAATATAAGAGCGCGAGAAATTGTGACGTTTTCGCGCGTTTTATTTCGAAAGAGAACAAACAAAACTCATATCAAGAGAGTAAGAACTAAGAAGAAATCAAGAAACTATGAAAATTCACTATAGAGAATTGTCGCTTTCAATTACAAAAAAACTACATTATTTGGTTTTGGTAGGACTCGGAAATTAGTAAGAAAATTACATGTTGATTTTAGGTATAGTGGACGTGTTTTATCAAAATAAAAAGTGATTTGATAATGAAACTTGTTTCTTGCGATATGTGTGTAGAAACATATCTACTTGTGAGTATGGGAAACAAAAAGGGCTCGTAAAATTAGTTGACTCTTGTTTTGTTCCTAAGCTAATAATGTTCTATCAATTTATAAGTTGAGTAACCGCTCCTTTTATACCATCATGCATATGCTACTATGCAACACGGAAAACATGGTACACATAATTCAAAATACGTCACAACACACTGACTTTCAAAGCTTGCATATCGATTATAAATTTAGACATTCAAAGATTTACCAAATTAAAACGATATAACTCGTCATAGCTTTCATCGGATTGTAAATGTCAAAGGAGTGGATTTTAAAATCGGTTTGTCAAAGTTTTGGCTTTGCGTGTACAAGGCTACAAGCTCACCGACTACACCGACACCGACATGGACGTGTCCGATTTTATAAATGGATCTCAAATTCCTAAAGAAGAGCATAACAATAATACTGAAGTACATCACAAGTTCACAACTACAGAAGCAAAAGGGGAAGAAATATGTCGTCCGAGTGTCCTGGTAGTCTAAGTTTTATTATTGCAAATAATTTGCTTTTTTTCACGGCTTGTAATTGATTTTCTTTCATGTTCTTCGTTTTTTTTTCCCCCGTTCAAATCAAATCATATCAGTTCTATTGTGTTCATTCTTCTACCAAAATAATTAAATTTATCATAAATGGATATATAATCATGGTTCCACATACATTTTTTTTTGTTCAAATGGTTCCACATACATAGAAACCGAGTAATGGACTTATTTATGTCTAAAATGACTAATGTGGTTGCTTTGACTGTGCACAGGGAAGAACGCATGGCCGGAGCTTGTGGGAAAAAATGGAGACTATGCGGCTTCGGTGATAGAAAGTGAGAACACCAGAGTCGATGCAGTCGTGATTTTGGATGGAACTCCAGTGACTGCAGACTTCAGATGCGACCGGGTCAGGGTTAGGGTTGATGGAAACCGTATCGTCGTCAAAGTCCCTAGGGCCGGCTAAAATTTTATACGGATGTCTATATATATGATAATTACGAAACTGTATACAATGCATGCATGCTTGGTTGGTCAATAATCCCTCTGCGTGAATAAATTCGATTTTACGTTACCCGAATGGTTTACTGATGTCCTTGTTATAAATAAATGTTTGTATGACGCAATGGTTGCAAGTGATTAAAATTTATGTCATATTGTGCATGATACATATCAAAATAGATATTGATTTTATTTAGGCTTGCTTGTTGCTATATGTGTGTAGACATTAGGAATTACATCTACTTGTGACGATGTATGTAAGAAAGAAAGAAAAAAAAAGTCGTCAGGATTATTGATTAGTAGTACTACTTAAGCTAATGTTCTGTACTAATTATAAGTTGACCAACCGCTCCTTTTTCACCATACACGTGCTAGGGCAACAAGGAAATTTTAGTACACCTAATTTAAAAGACACCACAATGAACTTTTGATTTGACGAGTAAGTAACGTACATCGATCCTACTCTATAAATTGGACTCAAATTATCGTAAAAAAAACATATCAAACATCATATCACAAGTATAGGAACAAAACTGAAAGAAGAAATGGCATCCCAACACTGTCCTTATATTGGTTTTCTTTCATCCTTATTCTTTATGTTTTTTTTTTTTTTTTGTAAAAGTTATTCTTTATTGTTCGTTTTATTTGATATTGTTTCCGGCCTTTAACTGACTCTTGCATCTTCTTCTTTCTGTTTACGTCAAAACGATGACTGTATTGTATGATTTCATGGAAATCAACTTGTTGAAAATGACAAATGTAAATGATTTAGTTTACCGGTCTAATGTGGTTTGCTTTGATCGCACACAGGGAAGACCACATGGCCGGAGCTTGTGGGAACAAATGGAGACTATGCAGCTACGGTGATAAAAGGAGATAACCCAAGTCTCAATGTTGCCGTGTTTGTGAACGGAGCTTTCGTGTCTGGAGACCTCAGGTGCGACCGCGTTAGGGTTTGGGTTGATGGTAACCGGATCGTCGTCAAAGTTCCTACCGCTGGCTAGAATTGTTGGATTTGGACAAAAGATTGCTATGCGTAATATTCATGTTTTAAAATAAGCACTGCATATTGACAATGTGTAGTTTGAATGGTAATTAACGATGTAAATATTATCGTTTGAATTAGTGATCACCGTGAATCTACTAATGGTCTATTTTTATCTAAGTCAAAGTTAATTTGACCAGCCATTATAAAATTAAAATTTTCAAAGCCTTACCAAACAGATATAACTTTCAAAGCTTATCCATTTCATGATAATGCCAAAGGAGTGGATTTTAAAACTGGTTAGTCAAAGTTAATAGCTTTTAATGCTTAACGACAACACCACCGCACCGACATAAACCTATCTGATTCTATAAATTACTCAAATTTCTAAAGTCATAATGTACTATATAGCAAATACATCACAACACTAGAGAAATAAAAGAGGAAGATATGGCGTCCCAATGTCCTCGTAAGTTTTGTCAATAGTTTGATATTAATTCGGCTTTTAATTTATTTTCTTTAATTAATTTGATATTGGTTGCGTTTTTTTTTTTCTTTCGGTTTTTTAAAACAAGTATTGGTAAGCTTTTTAGTTAATCTTCTTTCATCTTCGTGCTGTTCAAATCAAATCGTAAAATTACTCGGTACTTTCTCGATTTTTTTTTCTTTTTTTCTGAATGATTCTTTATCCATTTTTCTCCCCCAATATGATCGTTCAAATTTACAATTTGAACTCAAAGATGAAGAGATTAAACCTATTACAACAAGGCTTGTGAAACTGAAGTAAAGTAGCCAATCTTTATTACTCTCTCGATTTGTTATCCTAATCTATTGTTCTATTAATTAATTAAATTAACTAACCGCTGCCATAATCAACGTAAACGTGATATGTAACAAGAAATATATGGTACCCTTTTATACAGATAAAAGAGTTACGTTCACCGAAATATGACCTGTGAGGCATAGTAGATTAGTAGGGGCATTTAATATTGTATTAGTTCCATAGAAACCGAGTGATGGGTAACATGGGTTTATTGAACTATGAAATGCCAAATGTAAAATGATCGACCGATAAATTAAACGTGTGCTGCTTTGACTGGCCGCAGCGAAGAACGCATGGCCGGAGCTTGTGGGAAAAAATGGAGACTTTGCGGCTTCGGTGATAGAAAGAGAGAATAACAGGGTCGATGCAGTCGTGGTTTTGGTTGGAAGTCCGTTGACCGCAGACTTCAAGTGTAACCGGGTCAGGGTTATCGTTGATAGAAACGGTATCGTCGTCAAAGTCCCTGTCGCCGGCTAGACTAGCATATGGATCCCACGGTTAGTTTGTGTCGCGATCAGATGAATGATGAATAGAATAAATAGAATAAACTCTATGTAAGTTATCGTTTGCCTGAATAATTTCGGTTTTCGTTACCGGAGCGGTTAGTGATGTCCAAAGTTACAAATAATGTAAAATTAACGTAATGGTTGAAAGTGAATAAAATTAATTTCATATTCAGTATTTAAGATCAGATAGAGATCAGCATCTACGTGTGAGTATAGGAAACAAAAGAATAATTATCATCAGGGCTATAATCTACACGTAAAATTATATGACTCTTTTTTCCATCACGTTGGCACATGCTATGCAACGTGGTAAACATGGCACTCATAATTCAGAAGACGTCAAAACTCAATGACCTTTTGATTTCAAAGCTTGAATATCGATTATATATTTATACATTACCAAATTAAACGATATAACTTGTATTAAAAATATGCATGTTCTATATCAAAGCTTATCTATCGAATTATCAATGCCAAAGGGTGAATTTTAAACCGGTTAGTCAAAAAAATTGCCAACTTCACCAATCATGGTATTTTGAACTACAAATTAGAAATATGCATGTTTTATATGAACTAATACATGATGTGCAATGACAAACATTAAATAACGTATTTTTTTTATATAAAAATATAAAATTGATGTAGTTAATATAAAAATTATTAGTGTGGAGATTTTCAAATCGGCATGAAAAACTAGTAGATTTAAATTGCATTATTGTATATCTCAAGGTACAGAAGTTAGAAAATGTATATTGATGCAATTAATATTAAAAAAAAAACTATTTATGGTGAAAATTTTATATCAGCATATAAATTTTGTAATATATAAAACTTATGTACTTTATAGTTATTTGACAAATACCCTAAAATAAACCAAAATAGATTTTTAAGATTTTTTGGCAAAAGTGGACTAAATATTTTTGTGAAAACATTTGTTTACTCTAAATAAATGACTAATAAAATTAATATTAAGTTTGTGTTCATTTTCCCACATTAAGGTTTAGATTTTCAAGTTTAGAGTTTAGGATTTAGATTTTGGGTTTAATTTTTAGATTTTTGGATTTAAGAATAAAATTTAACTTATTTTTACATTGAATTTTAGTCCATTATGGCCAAGAAAAAATCTTATTGAGTCTATTTTGACTGATCGCAGCGAAGAACGCATGGCCGGAGCTTGTGAGAAAAGATGGAGACTTTGCGGCTGCGGTGATAGAAAGAGAGAATAGAAGGGTCGATGCAGTCGTGATTTTGGTTGGAAGTCCGGCAACGGCAGACTTCAGGTGTGACCGGGTCAGAGTTTGGGTAGATAGAAACGGTATCGTCGTCACAGTCCCTGTCACCGGGTAGACTATCATATGGAACACACGGTTAGTTTGTATCGTGATCAGATGATGAATGATAATAGAATAAACTTTATGTAAGTTATCGTTTGCGTGAATAATTCATCAGATGAATGATGAATAGAATAAACTTTTATGTAAGTTATCGTTTGCGTGAATAATTTCGGTTTTCGTTACCGGAGCGGTTAGTGATGTCCAAAAGTTACAATAATGTAAAATTAACGTAATGGTTGAAAGTGAATAAAATTAAAAATTAATCTCATATTCAGTATTTAAGATCGGACAGAGATCAGCATTGATTTCATGCGATATATGTGTAGTGTAGAAAAATTTATAAAAATGTAATTTTACGTGGTCAATATAAAAATTATTAGTGTGGAGATGTTCAAATCGGCATGTAATTTAAATTGTACTATTGTATATCTCAAGGTACATAAGTTATAAAATGTATATTGATGCAGTTAGTTTCATGAAAACATTATTAAGGTGAAAATTTTATATCAACATATAAAATTAGGAATATTTTAAAAATATGTACTTTATAGTTAATTGATAAATACCCTAAAATAAACCAAAATAGATTTATAAGATCTTTTTGACAAAAAATGGACTAAATATTTGTGTGAAAAAACATTTGTTTACTCTAAATAAATGACTGATAAAGTTAATAGTCTGTGTTATTTTTTTCCCAAAATAAGGTTTAGATTTTCAAGTTTAGAGTATAGATTGTGGGTTTCTGGTTTATGTTTTTTGGGTTTCATTTTAAGATTTTTAAGAAGAAACTTTGAATTATTTTTACGTTGAATTGCAGTCCATTATGGTCAAAAGAAACTTGCGAGCCTTTTTGGACGTACCAACAAGTTTTAGTCAAATTGGTTAGTTGCTCTAGTTAATTCTGCGTAATATACATCTTATTTTTAATTCTTAAATTAACTGAACATATAAAGCATGTAAGGAAGCAAAAAAAAGAAGTTAAGTATGTAAGCAAACAATCAAAGAAGCAAGGAATCAAATAATCAAAGAATTCAAAGAAACAAAGAAGGAATAAGCAAAGTAAACAAGCAAGCAAAGAAGGTCAATCAAGCAGAACACGACAAGCAGTGGAATAAGCAAAGAATCAAATTAACAAAGAAGGAAGCAAGTAAACAGGTGAACAAATAACGGTGTAAGCAAAGAAAGCAAGCATAATTAAGCAAATAGTTCATAAAGCAAATATGATTGAAGTAAGCAAAAGAAGCAAATAAAAAGGAAGCAAGTAAAAAAACTAACGATGTAAGTAATGAATCAAGAAAGCAAGCTAGCAAGTTAACGACCTAAGTAATGAAGCAAGCAATGTATCAAGAAAGCAAATATGCAACATGTACGCACGAATGTGAGCATGAATTTCATGTTTGGAGGTTCAAGAGAGCAAACCGTATTTTTAAGCAACTCATCTTTGTCTCCTCCACTGGAATTGAAGACCTGCTTCTTCGAACTTCACATACTTCACTTGTATTGTTTTCTGCATTTAGAGGAAAACTGCATTTGAATGGAAGAAACCGTCTTAGCAACAACCAGCCAAGCCTTCAAAGAGAGAGAGATAATCAGAGACCGTCTTGCTTTGTGACTTTTCAAAGTCATCTATTACAACTTGTTTCTTGTGATTTTCCTGTTTTAGAATCGCGCAACCCGTTTTTCCCAGCCTTCTGTCAAGCTTCCAAAGATGCAAAGGGAAACCATTAGAGAAAAACTACAACTTCTCAAGAAAAAGCAAGTTGACTTGTAAAAAAACTCAATTCATCACTCACAAATCTTCAAGCTTCTGCACATAGTCTAATATAACATCTCCCGTGAGTTCTCAAAACCCAAATCCCATTATCAGATTACTTTGTGGGACTCTGGACACGAATGGCTGAAACAGAAAAAGAAGAAGACACATGAAGCATTTTTGTCTTTGGTTTTTGAGTCTCACATGATCAAATAGACTGTATAATGTTCTACTGCAGAAGAAGAAAAGAGAGAAATTAACTTCAAACTATAAAGAAGATTGAAGAAACATACTTGGGAGGAGGAGTCAGCTAAACAAAACAAGAAGATGACGCACAACTATTTTAGAGCTCACATGATCAAATAAACCTGAAATAAGCACAACAGTGTCTGAGATTATGTGGTTCCGACTTACAACGTACTGTACTATATAAGTTGAAAACCATCCAAACCAAGACCCCAATATGTTTTTTTATTGTATTACTTTTTACAGTAACTCTGTTTCTGGCTCTAATTTTTTTTTACTTTCTCTAGAACTTCATATCTCACATGCTTTCTTATCTACGGATTGAGGTGATTTAAGCTACCACTTCTAAAACAAGATGGCCCGTAGATACTGACATTACAGAAAAACAAATTGTCCTATGCATTAGAAATTATCAAATATTACATCAATAAAATGACAACTTACAAATGGGAGTTCGTGGCTGGCTGATGGTCTTGTTCTGTTCCAAGATGGAAGCTCTTCTTCCGGCAACTTCTGCACTCCATAGAGGTTCAAATAAATGAATGATAATAACCTTAAGAAAGAAGTACATTTCCATGTTAGAGAAGAGAATCGTACATGCAACTGCTAAACACTCTTTATGTGTTTCTAGCCTACTTATGGGACCGTTGCTGAGTAGCTTTCTTCTCCAAAATAGTCTTCTGTAGAACGAAAAATCATCCTGTAATGAATGTCTTGCTACTATACTTCTTGATAATCTTTAAACCCTGCTCCAACTTAACCAAACATGATCCCAGAGAGAAAGATTTCAACATTGAACCGAGGAAGTTAGGCCTAGCAAAACAGAAACAGATGGCTCCAGAAACGTAACCACTTACCTCTTGTTTGTCTCTACTTTTGGTAACAGGTTTTCTTGCATTTCATTCAACATTAGGCTGAAAGGAGATCTTGTGATTGCAATTCATGCGAGTTCCTGCACTTGAGGAAAGGATGCACTTTGTATATTATTACAAGCAATGCTAATGCAGACAAAAGAATCAAAAGAAAAAGAGGTAAAAAACTTACCACTACAGCACATCTATTGGTTCTGGGACTCAAAAGTCAAAGTAGATTCTCTAAAATATTTGTTCATCCTTTGTATAAACATGCCAAGCCACACATAAATGTCATAACAGTGAAGCTAAATGAGAGCAGTATTATTGTTCACCTTTACTTTTGTGACTTTGCCATTTTAAATAGCGCAGTAAACTTCACAGGCTGGACGGAGAACTTTTCACCATTGTCCAAGGCAAAGAGAAATGACGGATCACGAAGCTAACTGTTTAACAGTGAACTCAACAATTGATGATAAAAAGAGTTTAGCTCATCATTTGTTAACAATGAAGGGGATTAAATATATCAAAAACCAAGTAATTTGGTACCTTGCGGACCAACTCTTGCAATATATTCTTGAAAAAAATATATCAAAACCATTGTCCACTTACAGAAAGAAGACGAGATACGAGATACAAGAAACCATTTCATTCAAGAAGACCTGTAAGTTTATTGCTTTTGATAGAGGAATCTAATAGCCTCAGCCTAAATCTCATCACAGAGAAATCTCTGCCTCATAAGGCAGCAGAACACTCTCAAGAAGGCCCCTAAACTCTGGGGTTAATAGAGTTTTGCAGTGAACAAGTCAGAGCTCTGCAGTGAAAACAAAATGACAAAACAAATGGTAATATATAGCCTTTTCATGTTACCACTTACCTGAAGTTTGTAAAAGAAAGTCTTTAATTGCTCTAAGTCAGTAAGAGGAATCTCAGAGCCATTATGTTCGAAGTATCCCACTGACCTCCTCAGATTTCCACCAGAGACAACCTCATAAATCAAAAACTGCAACCAATGAACCTTCAAACAACAGCAAGAGTTTTAAGCAACTCCACCGCCAGAAACAGCGACCTCTGCATCTCTGAGAAGCTAGAGCCGTTGTGCCATGACGCAGGAGCGTAATAACCCCAAAGCTAAACCCTTGGATCCTGATAATCACCAGAAAAATCTCGAGCTGAAAATATGGTAGTACACTTGTGATCCGATGGTAGATGAATAAATGGTAGTACACTCGTGATCCAAAACCGATGGCTGTACATTGTTAACGATGCAACTCAACTGGCAGAAACAGAACTCTGCACCTCTGAGAAGATAAGAGCCATCGTGCCATAACACAGGAGCGTAACCCATCAAAAGCTAAACCTGAGATCCTGATTACTAGCAGCAAAAGCTCTGTTTCCATACAAATTAACTCTGATCCAATGATTCCCTTTGAAGCACTTGCACACGCAGAATTCTTGTAGATCTCTGCAGAGAGCGGATTCAGACATTGGCAGCAAGAACAAATGCAGAGAAAAGCTTGTGGAGCAAGGCTTTTTGCCGGTGAATAAGGATATGGATAAACAAAAGAGGCCTTCTCTTCCTAAGATAGAAGAATGATCACAAACCTTGATCCTTCTCTTTCCGGTAAGTTCTGTGAGGCTGTTTCTGATAAAAACCGTATGTATGCATGAATGTATGTATGGATGTGTGTATGGATGTATGGATGTGTGTATGTATGTATGGATGTATGCATTCTATGGAATTTGCTTGCTGCAGAAGAAAAGTGACGCAACATCAAAATCCGATAGCAAAATCAAAAGATCTAAGAGAGTATACTTGGATTTATCTAAGACGACGATGCGAAATTGAGAACTTAGAGACAGGTCGCCAAAAGAGAAGAGATCAAACTAGATTTCGAAAACCCTAATTAGCGACAAAAGAGAACAGATAATTAGTTGATTACCGATTGATGAGATTCATGAGAACAGAGAATTGTGGAATTGATCGGAGTGCCTTCTGAGCCGGCGTATCTCCGGTGATATTTGGATCGGCGGAAGGAAAAAATGCCCAACTTAAAGAGTATAGCGACTCGAGAAGGAAGAGAGAGGGAGAGAGATAGAGAGTTGATCGCAAGGGCCTGATATCTGGAAACTTTTGTTTCGCATAGATCATTTTACTTCATAAACAAAAATTTCAAAATTCAAAATTCAATTGCTTCGCACACACATCAGACCGTTATTAAAATTAAAAAGATACGTTACCGAAAAATAATCCAGGATTTAATTTGTTTTTGGTTTAGTTAAAAGACTTTCTTCCAAGTAAAAAGCCTCTAAACTACATATTATGGGCCTAAACAAGCCCAAACTACAGAGGGCATTGATATATTCCACGTTGGATACACCACGTAGACTCCCATTTATTGGATGTAATCTCCAGAGAAAACGCTTTTACGCGTTCCCGCGTTCCCGCCTTCTTTCCGTTCACGCCAATATACATATGCATGGGTCATTTACAAAGAAACTGAAGTATATTTTTATAGATATTGGTTTATATGTTATGGTCAAGCCAAGGTGATTTTTGGATGACTACAAGTATAACATAACCAAACACAGTAACTATTATCATGAATTTATGGTTAATTTCCATGGAAACCGACTTATTGATCTAAAAATGTCAAATGTAAATGATTTAGTTTCCTGGTCTAATGTGGCTTGCTTTGACCGCACACAGGGAAGACCTCATGGCCAGAGCTTGTGGGCACAAATGGAGACTATGCGGCTTCCGTAATAAAGGAGAGAACCCGAGTCTCAATATTGCTGTGTTTTTTAGTGGAACTTGGGTGTATGGAGACCTCAGGTGCGACCGTGTTAGGGTTTGGGTTGATAGAAACTGTATCGTCGTCAAAGTCCCTACCTCCAGCTAGAATTGTCGTGTATGGACAAATATTGTTGCTATGCGTCATATGAATGTTGTTTTTCGCATTTTTTTTTGAAAAAGGACCACTAGACAATGTGTGGTTGATTTGTAATTAATTATGTAAATGTTTATCGTTTGTTGCATCGATATTTTTTATTTTGAAATTGGGTACGAAGATTTATCAGAAACGGTGACATATATATATATATATAAACGTTTTCTTTTGTGAAAATTCATATCATATAAATGTAAGATATCAAGCGGAATCCAACCACCATTCGGAGTATCCTCTTCACATTCGTTTTCTTCCAATATTACATAACTTGTAAGAACATATTACATATCACCGTGGTATTACTACTAATGGTCTACATTTATCTAAGTGCGTATAAATTTGACCATTTATAATAAAATTAAAATTTTCAAAGCTTTACCAACAGATATAACTTTCAAAGCTTATCCATCTAATCATAGATGCCAAAGGAGTGGATCATTTTAAAACTGGGTTAGTCAAAATTTCTGACTTTTAATGCTTGCCGACAACAACACGGCACCGACGAAAACGTATATCCGATTCTATAAATTGGACTCAATTTCTAAAGACATACTGTACTATTACTATATAGCAAATATACATCACAACAGTACATAAATAAAAAGGGAGAAATCAGAAATGTCCCAATGTCCTCGTAAGTTTTGTTAATAGTTGGTATTATTACGGCTTTTTAATTTATTATCTTTAGTTAATTTGATATTGGTTGCGTTGTTGTTTTTTTTTCCTTTATCAAACAACTACTGGTAAGCTTTTTCTAGTTGACTTTCTTTCATCTTCTTCTTTTTTTTCTGTTCAAATCAAATCGTGACATGATTTGGTACTCTCTCGATTTGATATGTTATAAGGAATAGATGGTACATCTTATAAAGGACACCAGAATGAATTTTTGATATCACAAAACCTTTTTTTGTTACGCTGTGTTCAATATTTTCTTAGTTTATACATTAAGGGAAAAAATTGCAAATAGTATAGTTTGAGTGAGTATTTAATAATTTATAGTGTGTAGATTTAATTAGGAAGTATACAAGTGTGCCTATATAAACAACTTGACTTCAGAATTAATTTATAGTGTGTGACTCAAAATTGTTTTTGCAAATTTTGACTTTGTATCTATAGACAAGCATAGCAAATTTTAAACGTCTGCTGCTTTGAGTGATCGCAGCGAAGAACGCATGGCCGGAGCTTTTGGGAAAAGATGGACACTATGCGACTTCGGTGATAGAAAGAGAGAATAGGACAGTCGATGCAGTCGTGATTTTGGATGGAAGTCCGGTGACTGCAGACTTCAGGTGTGACAGGGTCAGGGTTATAGTTAATAGTAAGAATATCGTCGTCCGAATCCCTGTCTCCGGCTAGACTATCATATGGATCCCACGATTACTTTGTGTCGTAATAATAATCAGATGAAGAAAATAAACTATATACACCGCATCGTTGGTTGGTCATGATGTTAGTTATCGTTTGCGTGAATAATTTCGGTTTTCGTAACCGGAATGGGTAAGTGGTGTCCAAAGTTATTAATAATGTACGTTTAACGTTATGGTTGCAAGTGGAAAATATTAAATTTCCTATTTACTATAAGTTAGAGATCAGCAACGATTTCACATCTAATATCCGTGACTACATTTTGGGAGTGAGCATATCTCATCCTGCGAATTGACCACATATTAAACATTTTTCACTCGGTAAAAACCTATAAATCGTCCAAGCAAGGTATTTAAGGTTTAAGTGAGAATCGAACTCAGACATACGTACGAAAGTTGGGAAATGCTATTACAAACTTAACTGTGGTGGCGGCGTCAATTTCACTAAACAAAATTTTCACCTCTTTTTTTCTTCTTTTCCTCATACTTCATTAAGTCACAACAAAACAAAACAAAAGTCCACTACAATTAAGTGACTTTTGTCACTAATAGTGTAATGCATTCCACGTTGTTACCATGCATGATAAAAAAATAAACAAGAAATTATAAGTATGCCCCACATCATGTCTTGTATATCAAACTTTCTACTATAAAATAAATGTAAACCTCCCTCTCTACTCACTACCAATCAATAAGAAGAACATATCATCCACAAATACATTAAAATGAATAACAAAACAATCTTCTTTCTTTTCTTATCTCTGGTCCTCCTCCCTCTCTACGCATTTGCTGCAACGCGTGTTGGCGGCTGGAGTCCCATCAGAAATATCAGTGACCCTCATATCATAGAAGTCGGTGAATTTGCGGTCTCCGAATACACCAGGGAGACGAAATCAGATCTCAACTTTGTGACAGTTGTTAGCGGTGAGTCTCAAGTAGTCGCTGGCATGAATTACAGGCTTGTGATAACAGCGAATCATACCGGCGAGAGCAAGAACTACGAGGCGATTGTATGGGAAAAGCCATGGCTGAAATCAATGAATCTCACTTCGTTCAAGCCAGTTTAAAAGGAATCCATCTTATTAGAGAAAAAAAAAGCAAAATATACAAAAATGAATTGTTGTTAATTTCTATATTATACAGTATGTATGATTTTGGAATTTTATGTTGGAGAAAATCTGATGCAAATGAATAAATGGTATTTGGTGTTTGATTGAAAAAGTGTTGACAAATCTACTATAGTATTACTTTGTCTCATCCAAGGATTATTCAAAAAGTTTTGTGTGTGGTTCGGAACAGAGGTCGTAGTTTTCTCCTCCAAAACTCGAGTTATGCTACTCTTCTCCAGCGATGGTGAAAACTGTTCATAGTTGCTTAGTTCATCTGGTCTCTTGTGCTCCTCTCTCTCTCTCTCTCTCTCGTTCTATATATATATTTTTTTTATCTTTGGTTCTTTGTTGGTTCCTGTAACACTTATTCAAAAAAAAATGTCTGTAAAAAATAAGTGTTGACAAATCTGCTAATTATGGCATATAATCTGCTAAACATCAGATTATGGGTCACGAGAATGTCGAGAAATGTATAGAAATTAATTAATAATAAATTAGTGACTTCCAATTACTAAAATTACAAGAAGACAGGAGAACATGCGGCCGGGGGAGTGTGAAGGTGTAAAGTGAAAAACAAATTTGTCTTTAGTTCGTATATGGCTCATTACATGTGACCAGTGTTTTATTCAACAACTTTATTTACATATTTACAAACTATAAGCTATTAGCAACGATTTCACATCTGATATCTACGACTACATTTTGGGGGTGAGCATATCTAATCCTGCAAATCGACCACATATTTAACATTTTTCACTTGGTAAGAACCTATAAATCGTCCTAGCAAGGTATTTAAGGTTTAAGTGAGAATTGAACTCAGACATACGTACGAAAGTTGGGAAATGCTATTACAAACTTAGGGTCTGACTGGTTTAACCGCTGCGGTTGCGGTTGCGGGAGTTTGCGGCTGCGGGAGTTTGCGGAAGCGGGAGTTTGCGATTAAAAGCTGTTTGTACGACTGGTATAGCAATTCATAGCGGTTGCGTTTGCGGGATATTTTTGACTGGTTAGCCAGCGGGTGCAAGAGCGGTTTAACCAAAAGTTACTAAAATAAAAATAATATATAATTATTCAAAACATTTATAACCATATTAATAATTTTTTTTTTGAAATATATTTTTTGATGAATTTTTAATTTGAAAACTACCCTTTTTTTTGGTTTTGAAAAATACACTTTTTATATGTAAAATGATTATTCCTAATTTAATAAAAACGAAATTCAAATAAGAAATATAAAATATTAATATTTGATAATAATTTTGTATCATTTTAACATCCTAATTACCTGTTTAGTTTTTTTTAAACAATTTAATAAAAATATAAGATTGTTTATATAAAGTTTAAATGGGGTGAGATTAAAGTTGTTTATGCAAAGTTTCAAAAATATTTAAATTTTTCAAAAGATAAACATTAAAAATGAAAGATATATTTCTCCACTTTTAAATTTTTAATAATTTATAAACTTTAAATATATGTAAAGTTTTAATTTATTTAAAGTTTCATTTGGTTTGAATGTGTATGAGGTTAAGTTGTTTATATAAAGATCCAAAATATTAAAATTTGTTTCAGTTTAACATATACTATATTTATTTGAAAAAAAACTTATTAGTTTATTATTTTTTTAAATTTTCGTTTATAATTTGTAATTATTTATTATTTTTTTGTTTAAATCACGTCAAAACATACTTTTTACATTTTAAAAGTGTATTTTTCAAAACAGAAAAAATTTAGGGTATTTTCGAAATTTTTAAACATAATTATGGTATTTTTCAAAAAAATATACCCTTATTCCAAATTTGGAGATATTATGTTTTTTTTTTTTTTTTTTCAAACCGCAACCGCCCGCAACCGCAAACGCTTGCGGAAAGGAGCTTTTGATTTTCAGCGATATAGAGCGGTACAGAGTGGTATAGAGCGGTTGAAAGCGGTTGTCGTGATTGTTATAAAACGCTAAGAACCGCTACGAACCGCAAACGCTGCGTTTGCGGGTGGTAGCGGGAGAACCAATCATCACCTTAGTAATGGTGGCGGCGTCAAATTCACTAAACAAAATTTTCACCTCTTTTTTTCTTCTTTTCCTCATACTTCATTAAAGCTAAAATTGGAATCTCACCTCACAACAAAACAAATAAAAGTTCACTATAATTAAAATGTCACTCTTTATGATAGATAAATGACAAAAGTCACTAATAGTGAATGCACTCCATGTTGTTACCATGCATGATAAAAAATAAGCAAGAAATTACAAGTATGTCCCACATCATGTCTTGTGTCAAACTTTCTACTATAAAATAACTGTAAACCTCTTCTCTCCATCCATTACCAATCAATAAGAAGAAAATATCATCCACACATATATTAAAATGAATAACAAAACAATCTTCTTTCTTCTCCTATCCCTGGTCCTCCTCCCGCTCTATGCATTTGCTGCAACGCGTGTCGGCGGCTGGAGTCCCATCAAAAATATCAGCGACCCTCACATCATAGAAGTTGGTGAATTTGCGGTCTCTGAATACACTAGGGAGACTAAATCAGATCTCAACTTCGTGACAATTGTTAGCGGTGAGTCTCAAGTAGTCGCTGGCATGAATTACAGGCTTGTGATAACAGCGAATCATACCGGCAAGAGCAAGAACTACGAGGCGATTGTATGGGAGAAGCCATGGCTGAAATCAATGAATCTCACTTCGTTCAAGCCAGTTTAAACAGAATCCATCTTGTTAAAAAAAAGCAAAATAAACAAAAATGAATTATTGTTAATTTCTATATTATACAATATGTATGGTTTTAGAATTTCATGTTGAAGAAAATTTGATGCAAATGAATAAATGGTATTTGGTCTTTGATTGAAAAGGTGTTGACAAATCCATTATGCTATTACTTTGTCTCATCCAAAGATTATTCAAAAAGTTTTGTGTGTGGTTTGGAACAGAGCTCGGAGTCATCTCCTCCAAAACTTGAGTTATGCTACTTTTCTCCAGCAATGGTGAAAACTGAAAGCTGTTTATGCTTGCTTAGCTCATCTGGTCTCTCTCTCTCTCTCTCTCTCTCTCTCTCTTTTGTATCTTGTAAAATATTTATTGAAGAAAATCCTTTGTGAACAATAAGTGTTGAGAAATCTGCTAATTATGGCATATAATCTGTTAAACATCATTATGGGTCACGAGAAAGTTAATAATAAATTAGTGATTTTCGATATCAGTTATTAAAATTACTAGGAGACAGGAGAACATATTGTGAGGGGGTAAAGTGTGAAGGTGTAAAGTGAAAAACAAATTTGTCTTTCGTTCGTATACATTAGATGTGACGAGTGTTTTATTCAACTACTTTAATTACATATTTACAAACTACACTCCTGACTTTTTATAAACAAAAAAGGATTAATTTGCTCAATAATCATATTGAGCACACAAATGAAGAATATAGCCATAGTGAATTCATAATTTAGAAAATAACTATGGCCCACCTCTATTTAACACTTTACTCCTTGTGTTTAATCATAAATAACCATAATGCCATTCTCTCTTTAATCTTATTTCATTTTCTTTTTTATTGCACTAATCTCATATTGATTAATATTTTTTGTCATTAAAAAACAGATTAATTCATAATCTTATACGACAAAACCAGATTTTTACTCTATGTAACATGTTTTGTTTTTCCAAAATAAATTAAAAATTGTGTAGCTTAATGTTAATTTGGGTTAATGAACAAATGTTGGATACTATACTATATTATTCAGTACCTTATACTATACTATTTATTCAACAAAATACAAAAGAAATGGAAAAAAGCACCCTAAACCACATAACTAAATCATAAATCTAATAAACTAAGCCCAAAATCAAATATATAACCTTAAACCCAAAATATAAACCCAGAATCCAAAACTTAAACCCTAAATCCAAAAATCTAAACCCTAAACCCAAAAAACTAAACCCTAAATCCAAAAATCTAAACCCTAAACCCAAAAAACTAAGCCCTAAACCCAAAATCTAAACCCTAAACCTAAAAAAATAAACCCAAAACCCAAATGTATAACCATAATCCCAAAATTTAAAACTCTAAACCAAAAAAAAACTACACTAATTCAGAAAAAGAATCATAATCCTAAAATTAATACCTTTAATCCTAACCCCCAAATTATAAGAGAAAATACTTTAAACCACACATATTTTTTCTTAGATTTAACTAAGAGTTATTTTAGGTAATATTGTATTATGATACTCAATATGATTATTGAGTGCAATTTCCCAACAAAAATCCAGGAAAAACAAAGGTAAAAAGGTGAAATGACACATTACTAAGATTATGATACTGAAATGACACGCTATTATTTCTATGAAGAGAATGAAACAGTTCACTTCTATATCATAGCGGTTATGATGATACTGAGATCTTGTTATAATAAAATGTATCCCCTTTTGGGGAAGAAAAGAAGATGAATAAATGGAAATTTACATACACAAAAAGAGAGAAACTTGTATGTGATAATATGAACTTGAACAAAAATGGCTACAAAAAGTAGGTGAAACTGAGTTGGTGGGGGATAAGGAGGATGCAAAAGTCCCACATGTCATTTACCAAAATCTCTATGTATTAATAAAATAAACAATTCTGTGTATATATAAACAAAATGATCCTTAGATTGGTTTGTTCGGTACAGACATTTTAACGATGGGATCGGCTGTTCAGAAATCGGCTTTACTGTTATGTGGAGACTACATGGAAGCCTATGAGACGTTGGTTCCTCTCTACGTCCTCCAATCGTTTGGTGTTAGCGTTCACTGCGTTTCACCAAACCGCATCGCCGGCGATCGCTGCGTTATGGCGGCCCACGATTTCTCGGGCCTCGAGGTTCCATTTTTTATACCTTTCACTCTCTTTTTACCTTTTTACACAAAGATTTTACTCGATCTTTTTTTATTTTGGTGTAAAGCTATACACCGAGCTGGTCG